CACAATATATAAACACAGCTTTTATAAATGTATTCAGTTTTAGACTTTTAAATGAATACCTGCTTACGGAACGTAGAAAGATCTTTCTATCTACCAGAAATCTACACTCAGAAGAAATTTTTTCCAAAGACTAGATTTTAAGAAATTTTTGAAACTGTCCTGAAAACTCTAGAAAAGAAGTAAATGTTTATTAATTTTGGATTATTATCAACATTTTTTGTCCTGGAAAATTGATAAATTGCTTTTATGAGCCCACACAATCACAGTACTTGAGAAACCCAAAGAAATCTCTATTTTTTGGATGCTAACTCGTTAAATCACCGTTCTGTTATGAGACATTTTTTAGTGTATATCATTTCAGACTCTTAATTCAGATGTTTATAGTCTAAAATGAATGTTTCAATTAGTCAGTCAGTCATTTACAACGTAGAACGTCTTACGTAAGTTCATCAGTTCAAGTTGCCATACCAAGTAAACACAGCGATAATTGTCAATTCAAATGCCATAGTAGTAGAGGTAGTAAAGGTATTAGAAGTAATCGGAGAGGTTAGGATTAGAAGATGTTATTCAAGAAGTATAATTCAATGAGGTTAATTTAGAAAGAGAAAGATGCAGGTGATGTATGTTTATGAGTGATAAATCACAGTAATGTTAGTTCACTGGGACAATAAATCCGAAGTTCAACTGTCCAGTTAACTCATAGAATTAGGATCATATTTTGTATTACACCTGTAGATAGAATAGTCCTGTTTTGTAAAGACTCTGAAAAAAATATAGAGTTATCCGATCACCTAGAACAACCACGTATGTATGTTTACGATGTGTTGGCCAATAAATATTTTTACAAAATGTTGATTCTATACTTTTCTTTCTCACCTCCTAAATTAGTGTTAAGGAGTAAAGTAGTTGAGATCATTGACCATTTTACGTATCTTGGCAGTCTTGGGGAGATAATGTTTGATCAAGGAATGAGTACATATTATGCAATTGTATGAGTACAGAATATATCTGTAGGTTGCTGGAATCCGATCATAAGCGTCTTAAAAAACAACGCCCGTCTATGCTGAAACCACCAACTAAGCACTGTTGGCATTAAGCGATAGTTCTAGTTGAAGGAAGTAAGTCGGTTTACTACGTTATTGAAGTCATCAACTCAGATATTATGACAGATTCAGGCTTTCAGGTTAGGGTTTACACAGTAATACATGGCTCAGAATCGATCACTGAAGCTCAAATGTCTTCACTCTTTGTTTTCCTTTAGATACAGAGTTTTTAAACTATTTTCTACTTTTTATTACGCTAATTCATTCTTTATTCTCATATCTCATTGTTTACTACTAAAAATTTGTTTCCCTACTACTTCTACAATTTCAGAAATCATCTTGGTAACTGAATGTCTCTCTGCTGATTGTGTTGAGCAGCTGGGATTAATGAATATTTTCCACTTTATACCTGAATAAGTAGATTAACACGGTTATTCAAGTAATGAAAAAGAACTTTTATTGTTCGACAGGAGTTGATGAATCGATGTTTCAGAAATGCAATTAACATTAATACTCCGTAGAAATATATTAGGATAATACATTTAAAAGAGTATGATATCAGTAACATTGTACATTTAACAAACTCATAAGATGAAAGAAATCAGAATGTATGATTGCTGTCTGAAATGAGGATAAAATTCTGAAAATCCTATAATTTATTTATAATGAGGTTAATATTGATAATGCAACCTATGCTATGTTGGTTTCAGCATAAAAATTTTAACAAGAGTTATAAATTTTGGAATATATGCATAAAAGTTAATTATTTAACATTCAATCTATATGAAAAGTTATCATATCAGTAAACAGTCAAATTACTATTCAAACATAATCGTTCACTGAAATTGTCACTCATGGCGTAGGCGAGATATCTGTCTACCAACCAAATGGCAGATTCGCCCTGTTCTACTTTATGGCTACGAAACATGGCCAGTAATAGTAGAAGATATTGGTAGATTACCAGTCTTCCATCATCACTATCTTCGAAGCATTGCTCGTATGTCTTGGCATGACCGAGTAAGCAATGGCACTGTTAAGAAAAAGGTACTAGGTAAGGATGGCAGGTAATGATATGAAGTAGTAAAACTTGATCGGTTGAGGTGATTAGGAAATGTGTTACGAATGCCCAACCACTGACTGCCTCGTCGAGCTATGATTTGTGGTGTAGGAGTAGGTTGGAAGAAAGCTAGGAGCGGCCAAACCGCAACATGACACAAACCCATGCAGTCACTGGCAAGCGGACGGAGACATGCTGATAAATGTAGACTAGCTGGTTAAGGTCCGCGAGACAATAGTAACCGATTGTTAGAGACCGTGAATAACGTAGCTTTAATTCGTTTGCAATAGCGCAGATGGATCCATCCCTTGCCTTCTCCAAAATTCGAATCCGAATTCATCATGACCTTCATCTTTCTCATCTCAAATTTATTTCACTGGATTATACTCCTTGAATAACGTCTTCATAACATACTCTTTCCGATTACTGCTCATCCTTCTACTACATCAGCTACTAGGGGGTTTGAATGAACAATCGCATCTGTGTGCTATCTTCGTAAGGCAACTTAAACTGATGTTCATCTTTGTCAACAGAAAGATTCGTTTCCTACTGATTATATACAGTGCGATCACTGAATTTGACAATTTATATAGTTTCGCAATGATAAAAACAGGCTAGCCAGAAATATTATGCAATGAAACTCTTTCTTGATTTAAATCAACAAAAAAAATATTTCACAATATAATTTACTCACCTAAATAACAATAATATTCCATCGCCAAATGTTTGAAAATTATTATGATTATTTAATTGTGAATGTGGATCTGTTTTAATATTACCAAAAACCTTGAAAAAAAAATTGAATTGTAAGTAATATAAGTAAGAAATGAAAAACTATGAAAAAATACATATATGTACAATTATTGAAAGTAACATTTAGTAAATTTAATATTCGTATTTTTCATTTTGTACTGAATCAAGTACTTTTTTTTAAAAGAAAGACAAATTGTTTAACAGAAATACACGTTTAATAAGCATCTTATTCCATTATAAAACATCTGATAGTAACAGACCATAATGTTGTGTACATCATTGTAGCCTAAGTGATGTTGTGTTAAAGGGTTTCAATGGCATATACTCAGATTTGTTAAAAGACTTTATCATACGAAGATTAGAACACGTTAAATGTATTCAAGAATCATTTGTTTTCAACTTGAATTCACAGTGGAAATATTCAGTTGATCTATTGTTTGAATATTGAATTTCTGAACAAGTAAATTTGTGATCAGGTTATTTGAAATGCACTGGGCTTTAACTTTGATATGCTTGTCAGTTGATATGCTTGAATGATATTACGAGTTTACCTCACTCGGTAAACGGAACGAAAGCTATGACTCAGTGACACGATAGGCTATTCTTATCCGTTGTCCTAGCCCCTGCTAATTATAGCATGAAGTCTTGATAAGGAGTAGAGAATGTATTCTAAAAGCACCCAGAATATACGAGGTTGCTAAGAGCACAAGTCAAGCCTATTTATAAAATGACAGCAACGCCCTTGGGAGAGCCACGAAATAGCATACTAAAATAATCCACCAACCAAAGACAGCCAAGGATTTTCCGAGTGGGAAATGTAAGCTCAATGTAAACTTAGCGTCTTATGAGCAAAAACATGAAAAATCAAAATTTCAGCTATAAATTACGATATTAGATTCACAAGGGTAATTATTATGTTACGCAACTACTAGATGATTCGCAAATCATATATGGGAATTTTATTTTCTAGAATAGTCTTTCCCACTGATCGATCTACCATTGGGTCAAAATCAAAACACTGTCACTGCGATAGTAACGAATTATAATTAGATTAGCCGATTTCAACCAACGATATAGGCGACAGATTTTCGAACCCTGAAAATCAATGAACATATTCGTATAAAGTATGCAACTATTGAACTCAAAGTACCATATTTCTAAGCTATGGAAGAATGAAAACTTAAACTTTCTAACATATACACCACCACTGACCATTCGGGTTCAACTATGACAGAGATGAGTCAGTTATCCACCAAATGCAATAGAAAATGATTGCTCAATATTTCAAACTATTAAGAGATAGAAATAAAAGCATTGGACACTGGTTCATCAGTCTTAAATGTTTCACATCCTGGGTTCAACCTCTGTTAATAACAACTTAATCGTAAACTGCTGAATAGTCTAATTCTACCACGTAACAAGTGTTCATTGCCTCCATAGTCTTCAATATCTGTCTAACTACAATCAGTCTGTGAAACAATCCGCGGAAAAATTCAACAACCTTCACTATGGTCCATTCATTCAATACATACTGATTCATTCGGAATCACACAAATTACTTGATATTGATTTCAATGTAACATATTATGTAGGACATATTTTTTTCAAATTAGACAACGGTTTTATATTTCGACTCATTAGAGTTATTTTGTTAGTTTATGTGAATCAAACATAACATTATCTATGCTTTAATATATAGTCATATATATTTAGATATTTCATGTATGACAGAAATTAATTTGACCTTTTTTTTTCTCTACAATGGATTAATGCGAAACATTTTTTTGGAATTATTAAACAACGTTCAACTCATCAAAACTATTATATACCAATAATAATAATAATAATAATAATAATAATAATAATAACTGTAATAATCATGTTTTGTATCCCTCAACCTACCTGCATACCAACAATACAATAGATAAAAAATAACATTGTAATCAGTAAACAAACATATGGCAATGCTTTAATTGATTGAATAAATGTCCATAGGATAATACGTATACTATAACCCTGACGTAATAATTTAATTAAACGTGCTGCACGAAATAAACGTAGAAAGCCCAAACTTAAAAATGCTGATTCCTATATTAAAACAAAACAAATCAACAAAACAAAACAGGTAGATTTTCAATTGGACATTGAATAAATTTAATCAAAAAGGGAAAAGTTTTCCTATTTTTCTATAATGATGATTTGAACACATCAATATTATTACATTTTATAGTGTTGTGTACTGTGGAGTGAGCAACGCTGTTATTAGGAATCGGGTGCTAGGTAAGAATGGCAGATCAATAGACGCAGTAGTGACACTTCATCAGTTGAGGTGGTTGGGACATGTGTTGCGAATGGCTAACCACCGACTGCCTTGAAGAGTAGGAGTAGACTGGATGAAAGCTAGGGGCGGCCAAACCAAAACATGGCAGAAATCCATGAAGTCATTGACTAGTGGACTTAGCCATGTCGGTAATTGTCGACTACCTGGTTGGGGTCTGCGAGATCATAATAATCGATGGTTAGAGACCTTGAATGACATGGCTCAAAATCGTTCGCAATGGCGCAGGTGCATTTATGCTTTGTGTTCTCTCAAATCTTAATCTTCTGCGTTCTTCAACAACTCTAGTTTTGACTTTCTAAACTTTTCTCATTTAAGCATACTTCTTGAATAATATCTTCTAATCCTAACCTCTCCGATTACTTCTAATACGTTTACTACCTCTTCTACTATTGGATTTGAATTGACAATTACATCTCTGTGCTGATGTTGTATGGCAACATGAACTGATGTACATACGTACGAAGTTCCACGTTGTATCTGATATGGAGTATAAAAGACGATCGTGAAGAGCAGTGCACAAGCTAGCTACTAAAGCTTAGTCATAGATTACATTCTGAGTATGTACATCTAGTTGGTCATAAATTAATTGAGTAACTTGTCATATACCACTAAATACCAAGTATAATGCTAGTTATTACTTTAGATGTTTCGAGTTTGAAAAAGTCTTGGCAAACCAACATTTTAATTTGGTTTAAACACTTAATTTATTGATATGAAAAGCTATTTACCGATTCGACTACTTTTATTTAGGTTATACTGATATAAATGTAGGCTGTTGTTATTAATTAACAGCAAAAGGTGAAATATAAATGAAACAATATTGAAACATGTAACATAATGTTCAAAATTCAATTAATTTAATCATTCAATTTGAGTGAGAAAGAAACAATAAAATTTATTTCATCAAATTATATATAAAAATATAAAAATATTTCTAGTCGACAGAATTCATTGTAGCCTAGTTAATAGTATACAAAAAGAACTTAATCAATTTTCTGAATGCGTTTTCCACGATAATGAATACATCAGTTTGGTATTTTAACTCTGTGAATATAATCTCATTGAAATATCGAATGAAAAGTTAAACAGGAGTGAAATATATATATTCAATTATGGAGGTATACGATAGATCACCCGAAAAGATCCAGATTTATCTACAATGTGACCACTATCTACCAGGTGTGCTAAGATAGAACTGCTAGATTATCCTAGCAAATTTCAGAAAGTCACCAGTAATAACGACATCAATAAAAAAGTGGAAAAACAACTGACGAATTCGCTTAAAGAACTAAAGAAAAAGGGAGTAATTGCGTCTGAAATTCACGACTCGATTAAACCGACGGGATCATATACACCACGACTATATGGTTTGCCTAAAATCCACAAATCGGGTCTTCCTCTGCGCCCGGTCCTTGATATGTACAATTCTCCTTACCACAAAGTTGCGAAGTGGTTAGTGCGAATTTTAGAGCCTTTGCATAAATCAGTTGTGCAAAGAAGTGTAAAAGATGTTTTTGAGTTCACTTCCAAAGTGGAAAGTATGAATGTTAGCAAGAAAATTATGATCTCACTGGATGTGGTTTCGTTGTTCACTAACGTAGCACTCCTCGAGACTATCGATTTCATATGCGAGCAAATTAAAGAAAAACAAATCAACATTGGCTTGCCCGAAGATTGCCTTAAGGAATTACTCCTAAGATGCACGATGAATGTCCATTTCGTATTCAACAACAATTATTATAGGCAGATAGACGGTATAGCCATGGGCTCACCTCAAGGCCCGATTCTAGCTGATCTCTTTCTAGCAAAGCTAGAAAATGGACCACTCAACGAAGTTATTCAAAAACTTGATCTATATTGCCGTTATGTCGATGACACATTCATCATTGTAGATCAGGACATCAGGAAAGAAAAACTTTTAGAACAATTCAACAATGTACACCCGGCAATCACGTTCACTGGTGAAGAAGAATATGATGAAAAACTGTCTTTCCTTGACATCACACTAAGTAGGCGAAAGGATGGTTCACTAAGTAGAAGCGTGTATCGAAAAAATCCCAGTGCTTGCCAATACACTCACTTTTGTAGTTTTACACCTATCCGCTACAAAAGAAATTTGGTTAGATGTCTCACTTACAGAGCAAATATGATATGTTCAATGGATACTGTAAGTCAGGAGCTGGAATTCATCAACGGCTCACTAACCGAGATTGGTTATCCCAGCGCATTCATAAAGAAGTATATGTCTGCCGTAAAAAGTAAGTCGGTGGTTTCGACTGCCCGAAAGAAGCCTTTGTTTATGAAGCTACAGTTCAACGGAGATGTGGCCTGCGATACTCTGCAGGACAGATTAAGAAGAGTAATTAACAGAACATTCAACGCTGCAAAACTTGCATCGACTTTCTCCAGTCGACCAGCGATGTCTACTCAAACGAAAGATAAGTTACCTGAGTTGGCCTCCTCTATGTACATTTACAAATTCAGCTGCTCCTGTGGAGATAGCTATATCGGGCGTACTTCCAGGCAACTTAACCAACGAATGAGTGAACATCTCCCAGCATGGTTTACGAAGGGTCAGTCAAAAAACAATACGCAGTTCTATCTTAGCACACCTGGTAGATAGTGGTCACATTGTAGATAAATCTAGATCTTTTCAGGTGATCTATCGTATACCTACATCATTTCCCAACGGAGTTCGATCCCGTCTCGTACACATTGCAGAAGCCATAGGAATACGTACATTCAACCCTAATATATTCAATTAGTTTTATATGAAAGGCGTTTAGTGATTAATTGTTGACAGTGCTGTTAAACACTCGTATCTGTACACAAACTAGAATGATATGACGTTTCAGTTAATTATACTATTCGAGCCTTTATGTGAGATTGTATTTGAGCTTTCTGGCTATTGACTGTAAGTAGATAGCTGGGATTATCAAGTTACCTTTACCATACTGGATTAAAATAATTATATATGCATATAGACAGACAGATACAACGCAGAAATTCGTACGTACGTACATCAGTTCAGGTTGCCATACCACATCAGCACAGAGAGGCAACTGTCAGTTCAAATCCAAGAGTGATAGCAATAATAGAAGTATTAGCAGTAATCTAGAAGATTAGGGTTAGAAGATATGATTCGAGAAGTATAATTCAGTGAGATAAATTTAGAAAGAAACAGATAGAGATGATGAGGAATTCAGAAGGTTAGAATTTCATAGAACACAAACAGTGGATGCACCTGCGCCATTGCAAACGATTCTGAGCCATGTCGTTCAAGTTCTCTAACTATTGGTGACTTTTGTCTCGTGGACACCAACCAGGTAGCCTACATCTATACTTCTTACTATTATACTACTTTTCAATATTCTTTTCAGTTTTATTCAAGTATAAGAAGATTAAATTTCTTAGTACAATTGACCCGTTTGGTTTAATCATTAAGCTACTAACTTGATTACGCTTTTATTGATTGACTGAATAATGAGATTTTGACAGGATCTTTTATTTTGGTGTATAAAAAAAAATGAACAAAGGGTGAAATTTATTTAACTAAGATTATTGGTTAATCCAAATTTATTGTTTCAATTATTATAATTATATAGTTAATGTCAAGCGATTTGACACTGAAATTATTATTTTTTTTTCAAACCAATGTATAAAATGAACCTGGAAGTCTTATGAAAAAAATGTATTCTAATTCAGTTATTTACTAATAAAATGAACTAACTACACACTGTCATCATTTTTTGACAACAGTCTAAGTAGTTCATTGTTTTAAAATAAATAAATTAACTAATTATTTTCATTAAATTTTGATAGAACAGTGAGAAGACCTAAATGATCTGAAAAATGTGATGCGTTTTGCGCTATGTACATTTCGAGCAATCTGATCACATATATTTTTACTTGTCAAGGCATTTTATATGATTAATAGAATTATGCAAGTTCAAATAAGGACATAAGATGATAACTGGAAATAAAACAGAGAGAACATTTTCAATTAGCGCGTTATGGAGATTAGTTAGTGTTTTGACACATTTGAATTCATCAATCAATCATTGTTAGACCACCATTAGAAACCCACAAGCACGAAACGACCATCCAGTGCTTCCATGTTTCTAATGGTGGTCTAACAATGATTGATTGATGATTTCAAATGTGTTAAAACACTAACGAATCTCCATAATTCTAACTGAAAGTATCGTAAAATGTGTGCTCACTAGTGTGACTAGCTTCGTGAGGAAATTCTCGGAGTTCTAGTTGAGAAGACGTGACCAGTGGAGTTCAACACTGTCGGGTGTAAGGCAGTAACTACCAAAGACAAATGGGTGATATCACGCAAAATCCCTAGATCAATCAGAGTTAAACATTAACAGCGTTAGATTCCGGTCCAGTGGTCCGATGCTTAGGTGTTTGGGCACAATACCGAAAGCCCAGGGTTCGAATCCTGTGAGGTGCGGGAGTCGTGGATGCGCACTGCTGATGAGTCCCATACCAGGACGAAACAGTCGTCCAGTGCTTGTGGGTTTCCAATGATGGTCTAACAATGGTTGATTGATGATTTCAAAGGGGAAAAAATTAACGTAATATGAAAAGAATAAGAAAGGATAGGAAATAAACAAATTACCCTAGGCATAAAGATTATCAGGGTAAATTCAAGGTAATGACAAACTGTTTCTGCACACATAAGGGGGGTTTTAATTTTCGAATAGCCAAGGCCTTCATAAACCTCAAAATTCATCCTTCAACAGTTCTACACAATGTTTTGAAGACTGTCTTAATGTCAATCTTATTCCCTGTCTCAATTATGTGTTTAGCGATGGATGAACATGGTTTTCTATTTCCTACGCTAATCGGCTCATCTGACGTTAACTGATTTTGAAGCCATTTAGGTACTTGTTCCATAATCCTTGATTGCAAAGTCCGATTACTCCTCCCTATGTATGTGTGTCCACAGAAACATATAAATTGATAAATGCAATGGGATGTGATGTAATCATTCGAGCAACGTTTAGGTCTCTGTGAAATCATGGGCTTAGTATTTTCAATGACAATCAGTTTAGTAGTGTTGTATGTTTTCTCTATGGCTTCTTTTAGTGTCTGTCTTAAGATTAGACCATTTGCTTCGCCTCTAAATGGTAAAATAATATAAACCTTTTTCTCCTGAGCAGAATGAAAAACTGGCTTTTGTATTTAACTGATTTCTACACCTATTGATGAACTTTAGCCGATAACCATTTGAAATCAATGCTTCATTTAAGAATTTTGCCTCATCTTCAAATGTATCCATGGTGCAAATCCTTTGAGTCCTATTGAAGAGACATTTTACCAAACCTCGCTAGTGTTGCAGTGGACAAAAACTGCAGGAATTTAGATACCGTCCAGTCCAGGTTGGTTTTTATAAACAAACATCTTCCGTAAACATCTCACTGTTCTATCAAAATTTATAAAAGGCCACTAATTGTTTAAAACATCTCACTAAATTGTTTAAATTTTTCTAAATATCATTGAATTTTAGTTTAATGACACCTGTCTCACTATTTAAGTCGTTTTATTATCAATAATTTTCAAAATTCATTATTAACTACTTCTTAACATCATCATGACACATGTATTAAATTGAATATATCAAGTTTTTTTACTGAATTCACACTACACTTACTTGTAGCTCAGAAACTAATACATCAGTAATACTTCCTATCACTGTAATAAAATCAAAAATATTCCAACGATCACGAAAATAATTCTGTAAAAAAAAAAAAGAAAACGTGAAGCAAAAAAAAGGGAGCATCAAATCATTTTCTTAATTCAACAAAACAAAAACGATCAATTGAGTGTTTCAGAGATTTTACTAAGCTAAAATCAGTCTGTATACTACTTATCGAAAACATAAACATATCTAGTTTATTTAGAATAGACAGAATGTGACCAGCAGTGAAATCTAAGATGTGCGCTGCTTCTTATTCGGAACTCGTTAGCTGGATATCAGTCAGTCAGTCAGTCAGTTGCAAGGTAGAACTTCGTACGTATGTACATAAGTTCATGTTGCCATACCACATTAGCACAAAGATGCAAATGTCAAATCAAATCCCACAGTGATAGAGATAGTAGAGGTATTAATGGTAATAAAGAAGACTAGGGTTTGAAGATATTATTCAAGAAGTATAATTCAGTGAAATAAGGTTAGAAAGACAAAGGTAGTGGTGCTGACGAATCCAGAAGATTAGGACGGCGCACAAGCGACTATCTACAGGGATCCAGTCTAAGAGAGATTGTTGTGCCCTACGACTCAATGCTATACCTACACCGGCGAGGCCCCTAGAAGCAGCATCAGGGCTACCGGATACACGAAGAATAAAATCGAGTTGCTTCTTTATCTTGACATGGTGAGGTCAAGTGAATAATGCTACTCGGATCCTGTATGCGCGTTTCCGAGACGCAGCACACATCGATGGCGCGAGATTCTAAAGTCCTAGCTAATGAAGCCTGTTGCCCTATTTGACACAATGTCCGTACATTAAATGCTCCAACATATAGTTTAGAACGGGGTTTCAAAAGACCAGGAATAAGGTTTCGAGGACTCGGATCGTTTGCAACAGAGGTGCGGGGAGATAAAGGAATATGAGTAGAATTAGTCGTGGAGATAAGAGAGATAATAAGGGGTGTAGGAAGGATTCGATTTTGATAAATTTGGTCTCGCGTGCTGTTATGGGTATGAGGGCGGTTATCACTTCCCGGCTGCCCGCACCGTTTAGGGGTTAGCTGGATGTACTCACATCTTAGAGTTGATTTTCACTTCTGGACTCGAACTCAGTGCATCGAGCTAATGAGTCGCAATTAGGACGTAACGCGCAGCTTAGATTCCTTTGCTAGCTACATTCTATTTATTCAAAAAAACTGGTGTCTCAGTAATTAGATCGAGGAAGTACACACAGGATGCCCATATTACCAACCAAGATGGATCAAATTTTAAGTCAAAAGCATCAAACTATTTAAGATCGAATAAACTTATCTCATTTAAAAACATTCATGAAGAACATTGAACACATGATAATCAATTCTAATAAGTATCTTCTTTCGTTTTTCATGAACAATTTGCTTCAAATATACAGTTACTTTAATCTTTATTGTTCATCATTAATTTTTGTTGAAGATTGAAATGTAATGGGATTATTTATAAATTTACCGAAAATTACTCTATTGTTAAGCAACCAGTAAGTGATTGGCAAAAAATATCCTGTTTTCTCTTTATAATATGCTCGTTTCATCTGATCTCTCTAGCTTCATTATATCGAATCAACTGAACATTACGTATTTAACCCAATCAATGACCTTATGTATATCGTTAACCTACTGAATCCATTTTCGTTGTTGTTGGAATTTAACTTTCTTTAGACGAAAAGCAGTACTGTTGGGGATGTTAGATCCCCAAAATTCGCCTGATAAATGCCTTATTTTGGTTTTCACGTTTGCCAGCATGGGCTGATCAGTTGACATTGAGATTTTGATTCCCACCAGGAAAATCCATGGCGGTGATTGGCTGCTGTGTATTTTAGTGTGCTATTTTCTGAACTGTCCCAATGACGTTTCTATGATGTATAAATAAACGAGAGTTGTATCCTTGATTGTACTGTGATTGCTGGGTGTTTGTAGAATATACTTTCTACGCTTACAAAGCCTCTTTACTCGCTTTGGGGATTCAAGGTAGCCTACCTGGACGCTGGTAAAAGTCTCGTTCGCGTTTATCGACTAAGTGACGAAGCCAATAAATACAGAGAAATTCTGAAAACAGTGACTTTTTTTCTTCGAAATGATTAGTTACAACGAAAGTTTCATCTGCCAAAACGTTAGTGGATAATTTGACATTTTGTCTCGCTTTAAATGTCTAGTTTTTAGAAAAATTATGTTTAAAAATTAGAAAACTCATTGTCTAAATTCTATCTAAAATGGAACCAAGTAATTATTAATTGTATTTTATAGCATGAATAAATGTTGATTATGGTTAAACTAACAATAATTATTCTTGATTCACTGAAATAACATATATCATGTCTGAAATATCTTTATCCAATAAGATATAAAAATATATGAATTCTCAGTTCGGTCAGTCAAAAATGAAAAGTAGATTTGTTTTAGTTCTTAAACCTCATCAGAGAATACTTTCCACATTATAAAAAGAATTGAAAAAGTTTTGCCACTGATTTGTAAGTCAATCTATATTATCAAAATCATGAATCAGTCGATGTTAGAAACGCAATTAGAAACCTGGAAGCACTTGTCCACCGTTTCTTCCACGATCCCCACACAAGTGAGTCGAACTTAGAACCTTCAGTCTCATGCGAAAACGCCTAACCTTTAGATCACTGAGCCAGCATCCAACCGTAGTAATGTCGAACTTTCATCAATCAGCGGTATTGCTCTACCCCACGTCTGTGGTTAACTGCTTCCAGATCTTACATAGATCGATTCATGGTTTCGGAGAAACTCAACCTGCACAAATATATCATTTTGGCAACAATCAAACTGGATTATAATGTGTCTACCATAATCTCTCCCATATTTCCTACTTCATGAGGTTCTAAGTGTATATGATATGCTCAAAACTATTACGAGTTCATCTTACTCGGTAAACGGAACGAAAGTCAATGACTCAGTGACATGATAGGCTATTATAATCATCCGTTGTCCCAGGACCCACTAACTAGAGGAAGAAGTTTTGCTAATACATAGGAAATATATCCCCCAAACACTCAGAAATTATGAAGTCCAGAAGCACACAACTCAAGCTTATTAATACAATGATAACGTACTACTAAAATAATCCATCAACCAATGACATTTAAGGATTTTTCGAGTGGGAAATACTAGCTGAAGGTCTTCGGCGCGATAACATAAAATTCAAATGAGTTTTGGGGATCTAACCTCCCTCAACAGTATATGTATGTATTCAAAAAGCTATAAAAAGCCTTCATAGTTTTCAATTATTCTCAATCCAATGTTCAAAAAACTGAAAAGACAATTCACTTAAACTAGAATATAAAATAAAAAAACAATTGACACAACATACCTTTGGTCCAAAAGCCATAATTTTCAGCATACATTCAACAGAGAACATAACAGTGAATGCAGAATTGAAATATAATAATGTATTACAATAATTATGATAAGCTTGTTGTTCTGTATCAACTGAAGCAGTAAAATATGATTTTTGTTCTTGACGATGATACTATTTTCATTGAAATTGAAAATACAGACAAACAGAAATTCAAATGAGCATTTAATCGAATAAAAGTGTTTTGCATATGTCATAAAGCTTTCTAATCTTTTTTTTCAATAGAAAAACACATATAATAAGCGAACAATATTGTTGTTTTCGATTAGATCGTCATCAGGCTTTACTCTCAATTATACTACTGTGGTGTGTGCTACTCATACGGACGATATAAGTAGTATAAGAAGGGACGTGAAAGAAGAAGTCTCACGGTCAGAAGAGGAAAACGGAAAGCAAATGGAGCAAAAGCAAGAAGTAAATGGAGTACCAACAGGAAGCAGGAAAGGAAGCAACAACAGGAATGGAAGAAGGATGGAGCGTTGGAAGTCAGGACTCAAAGATGGTGTGCAAATAGAGTGTTCAATGTAATGTTTTCGTTTTTAGTTGACTAAGAGTGTAAGTATGCACATTTCAATCTTCCGCGCCTGCCTGTCTTCTGACTACTACTATCCACTTGTACATTTGCCTATTGTTTGTGTGTAGTGACGTAATTTCTGTTTCATTTCATTGTGATTATTGACTAAAATTGCCTTGATTGGTTTAACATTTTTATTTAAAATATTCATGTATATTGTAGAGTAAAACATGATGACGATCTAATCGAAAACAACAATATTGTTCGCTTATTATATGTGTTGTTCTAATTTTCACAATGGTAATCTTTAATATTCCTTTTCATTGTTCAACTACAATACTTTTCATGAAATGGATATCTTCTGAAGATGTTTTTAAGTTTCTGTCTGTTATCCTCATAGATTGATCACAGTTGAGATACTATTGTAAATCAAAGAGTACTGAACAACTGCTTTATCCTAATGAAAAAAGACTTCAGAATGTCAATAAAAGTTTTCCATTTAAACGTGTAGTTCAAAATAATGAATTTTATTTTAGAAAAAAAGCCTTTACATAGCTGGGCAGTATCATTGACGAGCAAGGTGGACAGGATGTAAATGTGAAGGCCAGGATCGGCAAAGCGAAGTCAGCATTTCAACAATTGAACAACATCTGGAACTCAAAACAACTATCAACAAACACTAAAGTCACACTTTTCAGTACAAATGTCAAGACAGTTCTACTGCATGGAACGGAAAATTGGAGAAAAAAAGTCATTATTCAGAAGATACAAGTGTTTATTGACAGTTATCTAGGCAAAATACTTGAGATCCGATGGCCAAACACCATTAGCAAGAACCTATGGGAGAGAACATACTAGATTACAGCAGAGGAAGAAATCAGGAAGTGCTGGAAGTGGATAGGATTCCCATTGAGGAAATCACTCAAATGCATCACAAGACAAACCCTCACGTGGAATCCTCAAAGTCAAAGGAAAAAAAAGGAGGACCAAGGAACACACGCTGATAATCGGAAGCAGACAAAAACACTTAAAACAAGAATTGGACATAAGTAGAAAGAAAGGTCCAGAATAGAGTATGTTGGAGAATGCTGATCAGCAGCCTATGATCCATTGGGGGGGGGGGTAACAGAATCATTGAAATGATGAATTAGTTATTATTAGACCAGTATTAGAGACCTGTCATATTAAGGGACTCATCAGCAGTGAATATCCACGACTCCTCCTCGCCGGATGACTAGCTTCATGAGGAAATTTTCGGAGTTATAATGAGAAGCCATTAGAAGTTGAGTTCAACCCTACTGGGTCTAGGCAGTTACCTACCGAATAGGATGAGTGAGGTAGTGGAATACTGAGAACTGATTAAAATTAGACAATAACACCATTGGATAGCGGTTCAGTGATCTAGAGGTTGGGCGTTCGCGGGCGTGACCAAAGGTCCTGCACTTGATTCCCGCGAGCAAACAGTGTGCATGCCCACTACTGATGAGGCCCATATTAGGACAGAATAGCCGTACCGTTCTTCCAAGTTTGTAGTGGTGTTCTAAGAATAGTCGATCTATAATTTCAATGAAACCCAATTATTTCCATAATTCTATAATGATAAATGAGAATATATACAAAACATGATGATTTCATTGAATTTCTCCTCAGTTCTATACAAATTACCATGTTTATGCTTCCCAGTTTATGACCTAATATTAATAATCTCAAACTGTAAACTACTGGCCGATAATATGTGTATAATGTATAATGTTTGTAAAAACACCGCTAAGAATTTGTTAACTTTACAAAATATTTTCCAGTTTGGCATAACAATTCATAACAATTAAAAAAACTATGTTCCAAAGATAACCACTCTACATTGGTATTGTCCATTTTATAGGTTAACAATAAGTCCCCTTCGCCCGGCAAAAAAACACTTAACTGCCCTCCCAATCAATTCCCTACCATTATCTACAATTGATTTAAAGCAGAATGTTTTAAAAACTTGTTATCGATAGTCATTGCTAGTCGGTGTTTTGTTTTGATAAAATCTACTGTTAATTACCCATAAACGTATATATGTATATATGTATACATGCTTTCTAACTGCTTACATGATCTGTCATTTAGATTTTATAAAAATCACGGTTGATTATTTGATCTCAACTAAATTTCAGTTTTTTTTTACTTTAATCTTTGAAACAAACAAACAAAAAAAACTGCTAAGCAAAGCAAAGCAAATAGAATGATTAATGGTGTACCAGGAAGTTGATTATTTTTTTTTATTCTTCAGTAAACATCGTTCCACAATCAGATCTCAATTTAACCAATAAAAGAAGGCATTGATTTCTTAGTTAATAGTTATTATTAATGCGACCTGCGGATCAGTAGGATATGCTATTTTCTATCATTTTTTTGTGTGTGGATTTTATAGTTTGTATATCATTTGATAAACTTTGTGAGGCAAACACTGAAAACTACGAGGTACTAGAAAACTACTGCATCCCTGTATGAGACTCCCCAGCTGTGCTCACACACGCCCCAATCGGGGACCGAAAAAGTAATCGTCGGGTTTGTGCAAAAGTGGGCAATATTTAAATCAATGAGTTCACTGGGAATGGTCTAAATCTCAATCTATCTATCGTATTATACAACTCCTTTTTAATACCATCGATGTGCAACTGTCTCACATCACTGACATGGTTCAACTATACAAATCATCATTATCAATCATCAACAGAAATGTAGAATTTCGCACGTAAGCACAGCAGCAGTTCAAGTTGCCATACCACATTAGCACAGAGAGATGAAATTGTCAATTCAAATCCTATAGTAGTAGATGTAGTAAAAGTATTAGAAATAATCGGAGAGATTAGAGTTCGAAGATGCTGCTAATTCACGAAGTATAATTCTGTGAGGTAAATTTAGAAAGAGAAAGACAGAGGTGATGATTAATTCAAAAGGTTAGAATTTCATAGAACATAAAGAGTAAATGCACAATGCGCCATAACTTTTGACTAGAACTTAGAAAAATTATCTCTCGTAGTTAGTTTTCCTGGTGAGACCATAAATATGATTATATCTGTTGAATTTTAATCTGATAAGTTCTACCCTGATCTTTTCAGTCAGTTATTGTTCAGCGACGTTAAGATTTAAATACACTTCAACATATATTAGTCGCAGTGAGTTTAAACTTGATGAAATCTCTATTCTTAATAATTTATTATCAGATAATATGAATATTTCTATCATAACGAAAATGAGAAAGTTATGTAAGTTCTCATTAACAGATGGGAATAATTGTAGAAAACATTAAAATCATTGTATTCAGTGGAATTCTAAATTGATGTAGTAAATAAATTATGTGGTAAAATTCACCACATGTTTAATTTGTTAGAAAGTTTTTATGTATAGCGTAGAGAAGAAATAAAACAAGTGAATAATTATTGAAATCATGAAATAATCATTGTTAGACCACCATTAGAAACTTAGAAACATTGAACGCATGAATAATTAACAAGAAATGTGAATAATGAGTAGGATAAGGCATAAAAATGACATTAATCATTATTAAGCGTAACAATGAAGATCATATATTCAGAACTTTCCGACAAAAATGAATCTTAGTAACATTGTTGTGATATAATGTTTGATAAATCACCTTGAAGTGAATGAACTGAGCAAAATCAGAAAACTCTAGTGGTTATTACTTGAAATAATGACTAGTTTCGTGAAGGAATTCTCAGATTTCTAGTCAAAAGACGTGACCATTGTAGTTCATCAACCTTAACGCATGTAGGCAATAACTACCGAAGGCAAATGGGTGAGGTCGCACAAAATCTCTAGATTGATCAGAGTTAGACATTAACACCGTTGGATTTTCGGCCCAGTGATCCAGAGGTTAAGGCGTTCGCGCGCTTGACCAAAGGTTCTGGGTTCGAATCCTGCGACTACTGATGAGTCCTACATTAGGACTAAACGGCTGTCTAGTGCTTCCAGATTTCTAATGATGCTCGAACAATGAGGACTTCGGTAACAGATATAAAAACACTGGAAGCTTTGTGGTTATTTTGTACATGTTACTAAACTCTTGCCTATTCTATGTTTATTTATCCACTAGACTAATGAATATTAAACTTTTAATGAATAATACTTAAGTAAGATACAGTATTCTCTCACATTACCTTTCTTCCTGTCTTCCTGTTCTCATAAAAGTAATTAAAAATACTAAAAAGAAGAAACCTACACGGCTTTAAAAAAACCGAAACTGAAAAAAAGCGATTACTTATACAAAAAAACAATGGATTGAAACAATGCAATTATGAAATTGATAGATTACATAAAAAATCCATTAGGCAATAGACGTAATCTTGATAAGTAGTTAAATATTATTAATAATAAACTCAAAGTATAAACTGTACTTTATACAGTTATGCAACAATAAAAAAAGGGAACAGAGATTTCACAGAAGAAGACAATGACGAAAGGAGACTGAAATGAATTATTCTATTGTAGTGCGCGCTATTTATAAGTAGTATATGACGCGAGTATAAACGTAATGTCTGACAGCAGAAGATGAGGGAAGATCAAGAAAGGAAGAGTGGGAACACAATGGAATTTGTATGAAACGCATGAATAGTGAAATGTCAGACAATGGATTGATGATTAATTGATGTTTTGCAAATTAACGATTTACGATATGGTTTTCCTATTTTACTGAGTAACTCTGTAATTTGAGATAAATACAATTCGGTTGCCCTCACCTATGTTCTCCTTCACTACACTATAACCGATTCTATTTGGTTGATCAGGGAAAGAAGAGTAGTTCTATAAATTTTTTGTGAATATAGAAGTCATGTTTGTTAAAATGGAAGGGTACTTGTCCTGGTGTTTTGTTCTCTGAGCTGGATGTTTTGGTTGTGGAGCTTTCATTGTTCTTCTGCTGAACAACCTCATCAGCACAAACTTCGGGTAGAAGTGAAGTATTCGAATTTCTCCACGTTTGACCTGTAGCTTGTTCTGTTAACCGCGATCTTGATTAGTTGCTATTGCCCCTAAGTCTGTCGTTTGATTGTTTCCCCCTTTTGATCTGTTTCTTGATCGTATATTTGCCTATGATTTTTTCTGATTGGTCAATCAGCAATTAACAAACACAGCGACATTGACCCAATTTATCAACCAATCAAAAAAATCATAGGATCAAGGCACAGATGAAAAGGCGATACAATTAAAATTAAGGTGCAAACAACGACAGGTTTGAGGTCAATAACAACCGATCAAGATCACTTTTAACAGAAGAAGCTAAGGGTCTAAAGCGGGGAAATTTGAATAATTCACTCTTATCTGAAGTTTCCGCTGATGATGTTGTTCAGTGGAAGAACAACAAAAGCTCCACAACCAAATCATCCAGCCCAGAGAACGAAACACCATCACAATCATCCTCCTCAGTTACAAAATTTTCTCAACCATCTCCTAAGCTTTCATTATTATATTGAACACTGTCATCAGCACAAACTTCATGTAGAAGTAAAGTCATTGAATTTCTACACTTATGACTGGTAGCTTGATTTGTTGACCTCAATCCTGATTGGTTTTGATTGTCTTTAAACCTATTATTTTCTGCACCTTTAATCTGAATAAATCTCCCCTTTGATCTGTTTCTTGTTTACGGTTTTTCTGATTGGTTGATAAACCCGGATCAAATCCAATGTGTTTGCTGATTGATGACTGATCTCAGTGCTGTGCCTGTAAAATTATTTTATTGTTCTAAATAATTCCTCTATCGATTATGTCAGCATTTTTCAAATCGAATTTATGTTCACAAATGTCAGCATGTCATGGTGTTTGACTTACTGACTGACGTTCACGTTGGCGGAAATGTTGAAATTTATGGGATAAAGGGAATATGAAGAACACTAGAGGAATTTTAGGAGCATGGCATTCAAGTCAATCAACTATCAACGAACACATCGATATTGATATGGTTTATCAACCAATCAGATAAATCATTAACAAACATGAGATCAATAACGGGATCAAAGTGAAGAGGTCAGTAACAACCAATCAAAATCAAAGCCAGTAGAACAAACTACGAGTTATAAGTCAGTTAATATCTGAATTTTGTACTGATGATGTTGTTCAGAGGAACAACCAAAGCTCCACAACTAAAACATCCAGCTTCGAAACTCCACCATAATCATCGACCCGGGCTACCAATTTTCTAAACCATCCCTCAAATTTAAATCAAATATGTAACACATAACTTTAACCATTAAAATTAATATTTTTCTTAATTGCAAAAAAAAGAGTGAAAGATAAACTTACTTTCATCATTAAAATTAAAGTATTAATTGCAATCATCACCATGATGTAATATTCAAATGGGGTTGAGACAACAAGACGCCAAACTCGATATTTCAATGAATGTCTATCTTTTGGCATATAACGACATAATGGTTGAGCATTAATAGCGAAATCAATACAACGTTTCTGAAAAAGAAACAAGGTAGATTGTATATGATGAGAAAGTTGTACGCTTTTTTTGTTGTTGTTGAGCGAATTAACATGTAAATTAAATGAATATTTCTATATACATAATTTAACAAAATATAAATTTGTTGATGATTTCATTTTTTGAAAATACTTATTTTCATTCAGAGTTATGGAGATTAGTGTTTTCATAAATTTGAAATCATCAGTCAATCATTCTATCACCAACATCAGAAACCCGGAAACACTGAAAGACGGCCGTTTCGTCATGGTATGGGACTCATCAGCAGTGTGCACCGAAGGTCCCAGGTTCGACTCCTGTGAGGTGCAGGAGTCGTGGATGAGTCCAATACCAGGATGAAACGGTCGTCTTTCAGTGCTTCCGTGTTTCTAATGTTGTTGGTGAGTGAAAATACAATTGAAGTGACCGAAGGTCACGGGTTCGATTCCTACCTGTGGGATTGCATGAATATATACAGTGCTGAGGAGTTCTATACCAGTGGTCTCAAGCTTCGAATGGTGATCTAATCAACATTGGTTCACGATTTCAATTGTGAAAATTAAAGAGACGTTATATTTTTTTAGTAACAGAGTTTCACACAATAAATAATTTTGTTTCATACTTAATTTAGAGCTGTATGTTAAATATGAGCAGTAACATGAATTTTATATATGATTTTTAAGAAATGGTTAAGTGTCCTACATTTCGCACGTTGAAGACAAATAGGTCAACTGTATATATCATTCTTCATTGGTTGAAAGTGGATTAGTTGACATTCTCATATAAATAAGCAATCAATATTCAATAGGAACTATTATTCACATATCAAAATATCATTTGGTTTTAAGTACATGAAGAGTTTTTTATGAACTAAGTAAACATTCAGTCAGATATCAGATATCAGGTCAAAAGTTTAAATCAGCAGGTGAGAGATGATGATTTTCGGGTTAAATAAAAAATATACCTCAGATTTCATTTTTGTCTAAAAAAACGTTAACAACTTGTCGATGAATATAGTAAATATAACTTCTTTACGTACGAGCTTATCTATACACTTTAAAACAACACTGAGAAAATTCATAGCTCAGAAGGATAGTTGTGATAGAGTTTCGTTTGTTCAGCTGGAAGTTCTAGTTGTACAGATTTCATTGTCTTTCTTCTGAACAACATCATTAGCACAAACTTTAGAAACTTCTATCTGAAAGTTCCCTACCCAAACCATCCAGCTCAGAGAACGGAACTCTATCACTAAAACAGCTCATTTTGTATTCAATAAAACTTTTACATATTAGATCATTGGATTCAAAATTCAAACTACAACTAACTTGATTTTTATCTAAATCCAATTCGATCAATTCATTTTCACCTTGATTTTGAAATGTAATAATGATAAGTGCAACGAAAATATTTACAAAAAAGAATGGAAATACAATAAAGAATACCACATAGAAAATAGCCATTTCTTGACGAAAATCTGGTGATGGACCACGATCAGCCACAGTGGAATCCATAGAATTTTTTAATACTCTATAAAAGCAACAAAAAAAGAAATGAAAATATTTTGTAGCGAATTGTTTCATATTAATGAATAAAATTGTTTGGACTAACTAAATTATGGAGGAAAACTATTATTATTTCTCTTATCATGAATCGGTATTGACTGAATTTGAATAAGCTGATGAGAAATGCAACATAGTACAAGCCTGCAATATTACATAGTACTAAATTCAATAATTTTGAAGCAGAAATCAAAATAATCTAGCGTGATGTAGTTGATTTTCTAGTGGTTTCAAGACATGTAGGTCAACAGAGTGATTCAATAAGGAAGAATAAGAGTAAAATTAAATTAATTTCCAAATTTATGAAGTAATTATTAGGAGGTCTTGTGAAAAAGCCACAAAAATACGATAAAATCGATACTTATCAGCATATGTTAAATTCAATCTAGAGATCTTTCCTCCATGTTTTGTATTATAGGGTTATGAGGATTGATGAGTTACTTTTAATATCATGAATCGATCATTGTTACACTGCCATTAGAAACCTGGAAGCTCTAAGTAGGTAGTTTCGTCCTAGTTTTGGACCCATCATCAGTGCAGATCTAGATGTCCAGAGGTTAGGCTTTGACGCTCAAGACCCAAGGTCCTGGGCTCAGATACTGAGAGTAGCGAGAGTCACAGATGTGTACTGTGAATATGTCTCATACCAGGACGAAACGGCCATTCAGTGCTTGCAAGTTTCTAATGGTGGTCTAACACTGATAGATTCATGATTTAAAAAGTTAATCTATAATCTCCACAACCCTATCGCGCAAACTACCATGTGCTCCCTAGTGACTGGCTCCATGAAGAAGTTCCCCCGAGTTCTAGTGAGAAGTCGTGACTAGTGTAGATCAACCCCGTCCGGGTGTGTAGCAGGACTCACTGAAGATAGTGGACGAAGTTGCACAATATCGTGAATTCATTGAAGTTAGATGCCGGCTCACTCATCCAGAGTTTAGGCGTTCGTGCTTACAACCAAAGGCCCTGGGTTCGAACCGGTTTTAAAGTTTAATCATGTTAATTTTAATCGCTCTATAGAAATTTAACTCTATCAGTATCAACTGTTGATTTAAGTTAGAAGCATGAATTCATTGAATTACATTCGAATTATCCAAAGCTATCCAAAGCAGTAGACCCTTCGGGGCTACTGCCGGTCCCAAGCCCGGATAAAGGAGTAGGGTTGGGCATGAGGTTGGCAACCCCACCCTGTCAAAAAAGTAACTTGCCAAAAAACGCTAACTAGAAGAAATAATTCAAATCATTTTCACTCTGCCCTGGGAGTTGGAAGAAGAATTATGACGTCGCGTGATGAAAAACCAAGTTCCCTTGGAAGTCACGGGGCCGATGCCTCTTCTGACAACCAGAGCAAACATTCTTTTAGGTACACGGAACGTTCGTACATTGTGGGAGACTGAAAGACTATTTCAAGTCGCGGCAGAAAGAGAAAGATATGAGAAGAATGAACAAAAATTGGAAAGAACTGGAAAGGGAAGCCAAGGACAGAGTTGGTTGGAGAAAACTGGTGGGCTGCGTATGCTCTATTGAGGGTAACAGGCGTAAGTAAAGTAAGTAAGTATCCTTTTTCTTACTATAATACCTTGATTGTTCACAAACTATCAGAACAGTATTACGAAAAAATAGTTGCTTTGTAACAACAAAACATGACACTGAATAGTCTTAAAACATAAACACTCAGTCACTTTTTTATGTACACTTCAAAAAATAATGCATCAGTTTGTACTGTCTGCCTTTTTAATGACATGATAATCTATTGACAAGATTTTCATTTCAAAATACTTATACTGATTCTTTGTTTTGATGATAAATTGAATTTGTTTATTAACTGAAATAAAATGTAAATCGAATTTTCACTTTCTGAAATGTCAAAAACAATCCCCCTTTTTAATCAACTGACTCTACACAAGTAGATATTTGAAATATAATGAAGTTTAATGAGATTTATTTTGTAGCAAACTTTTTTTACACAACTGTGATGAATTGTCTTAGATAAAAAAAGCAGTCAACATCTAAATGACAATTCAATGTTGTTTTAAAGGATTTTATTTAATTGATTTATGAGTGGGGTACTAATAATAATAGTTTCTTTATTAAATATTACAAAGATATTATATGATATTTATTACTACAATTTTACTTTTTAAAAATGCTACATATATCAGTGAATGGAGAATATAATTTTATTTTTTATATTATTGCTATCACTACTAATATCCCACTTCATTGATAGTAAGTTCATTAAAAAAGTTAGCACCTTTGAAATAAAGCCTTACATAATCTCAACCAATACTTCTACAAAGTGCGATCACTGATGCAATTATCTGCAAGAAAACGACAAATGATTTATATTGGACCCAATATGCCTATAACACATAACAAGAAATCCTTTATTAAGATTTCATGTAATGCTGTTCCCATCAAACAGACCACATGGACGCAATTTATTTTGAGTTTTGATTTTCGCCTACTTAATAAGTATTAAGTAGCTCATCACTAAGTACCACAATTTCAGGTGGTTATTTGATTCATTCTAAAAAATTTTATACTATAGTTTCGAGTTGGAGTGATCCAACAAATACTTCTTCGAAAATTCTCATTAACTAACCATAGGTGTATGTTGGCTTCTATTATCACGAGTGATAAACATATTTTAGGTTCATTTTTAACTGAATTGGAATGAGATATTGTACTTCGAATTCTCTCCTCGAACTAAGTTTCTTAATTAGGTACTTTCTGTTTAGAACTTCTCATATCACGTTGCTTTTCATAAATGCTTACCATATGTTCTGATTTTTACACGTGAGTTTATTATTATTAAAAATTCCGAGATCATTTTTCAACTGAATTTGTTTAATGAGAGCTATTGCTAGGAAGCCTCGAAATAGAAGCCTAGAAATACAAGTAAGTGTTGTTTTCTAGTCAGCATGGAATAGAGTGTTCACAGAAACATCTGAAAAATGCAGAATCACGTGTTATAATTTTGAGTGGAATTTTAGCCATAATGCTGCTATATTCAGCAATGTTTTCAGAATTTCCAGAAGTACAATGTGATGGATAGTTTTATAAATACCCTCATTTTTCTGTATAAAAAGTAAATTTGGAGTAAAGCGTTCATCTCATACTTCGCATCCTTTCTCTCGTGTTCAGATTGCAGTGAAGATTTATACTTGGGTTAAATAAATAAATCAGGTGACTAGAAAGCTACAGAAAATCGATTGTGATAGGGCAGAACATTCTCAACATCAAAGCTTGGTTCATGTCTATTAGAAATCCATTTGTTATAAATAAATTCTTGATCATTATAAATTGCTGGAGATGAACTTCCACCATTGAGGCATCGAATATTCGCTAAACCATGAACCTTACAGATAAATGACCTTGCATTTAGATTTTGTCCTCCGTTTTCAACCATACGCCACATGAGCTACCACAATCTAGGTCAAACCCATTGTATTCGGGTCTTCAAAAAAATTTGGAATGGTTTACTTATTAAATAAATGAATGTTAATCGGTGACGATTTTCTGCATATGAGGAGAAGGTTTATGGTAGAGAGGCTGTGACCTCTAATTTAACTATTAGGACAGGATAAATGGAATTAACACTTTTCAAATAAGAACACTTGAATCGGTAAAAAATTTTATGAAACAAGAACTACATTTTAAATGAAATTCATGAATTATATACCGCTTGTCAGCTGTGGCATAATTTGGGTTAAGATGTTCCTAATAATGTTGATTTTAGAAGACTATGGATCTGCAATAATTACATACTTAACTTCAAGTTAGGTCAAATATATTTATTAAAATATTAATAACTTACGCTGGCCACCCCTCACCAGTTGTTACTGTAAATAGTGTAAGTAATGCATGAATTACATTATCATAATTGAAGTCACGTGTACGCCATGTACGATTCTGAAGGAATGGATCACCCCGATCATTGTAGTCAATAAACTGGCCCCTAAAAGTGAGTACAAAAAATGCATTTAAATCTTCCGAATGAACTATTTAGGCATCAGCTACACACTACTAGCAAAAAATTAAGTAGCTCAATTAGTTATACGAAATTGTTTAATGTTTTATTTTGTGAAAACAGACCGAATTAGTGTTTAATGTCACATTAGTTAACAAACAGCTTATTTCAGTTTATTACTTATTGGCAATGGTTTTTCAAAAACAGTTGGGCGTACAACTGTTCTCAAAATATTTACAGTTCTTTTGTTTTGTTTGACTTTCACCGTCTATTATTGTCTCAACCTACCTATAAGTAGCTCCGTTTGTGCATTCGAGGCGGGCAGTTACGGTTTTCACTTTACTCTGGTTCACATGAGGTATAAGAGAAAACTTTGTTAATTTCTTTGGCATACAAGAATTATTCTCAAATATCAGTTATTCGCCCGAGAATCCCGTACGAGAACGGACGCCCATGAGTTTTAATCTTCAGTGTTAATATGGGAAGAATACCAATCCTTACAATCAGGAATAAGTACAATGACATTTTATTTAAGACAAAATGCCCTACCTAAATATACACCATTTTCTTCCTGAATAAGCGGCATAAAACGCTTTAGTTTTTGTTACATACAAAACAAATATCAATCTTGACAAATACATATATATACGTTGATTTCCGATTTACAAATTCCTTTTCTCACAGATTTTAAATACTGACAATCAAAGATAAGTTAGTTGACATAATAATTTCTAAAAAGGCTAAAGTGTATGCTTAGGAATCAAAAGATTTTATACACAGATTTCATTGTGCTTATTTTCGTTTGACGTCTAAGACTAAAATATGTATAGAGAAGTAGGTGAAAATTTGTAAAGAACAAATATATGTATATATATATCAAATCAAGACTTCATTATTATTATGTAATGACTAGTTAACTAGATAAACTTACTGACAATCATCTCTTGTCATTTTAGAAATATCATTACAATAGAAAAATTTTCCCTGAAATAATTGTACAGCAATGACAGCAAAAATAAATTGAAATAACCAATAGACAATTAATATATTGAAAACATTTTTCAATGAACTAATAACACAATCAAATACAGCCTGAAAAATGAAGAGAAAAAAAGGAGAAACAAGTTAGCTTATTGCATAGATTTGTAAATATTAAAGCAAGTTACAAATTCAATTTTTGTGATTTTGTTGGGGATGTTAGATCACCAAAATTCGCTTGATAAATGCCTTTTTTTAGTTTTCACGTTTGCCAGCATGGGCTGATCAGTTGACCTTGAGATTTCAATTCCAACCAGGACAATCCATGGCTGTGATTGGCTGCTGTGTATTTTAGTGTGCTATTTTCTTAACTGTCTCAAGGACGTTCCTATGTTGTATAAATAAACGAGAGTTGTATGCTTGATTGTACTGTGATTGCTGGGTGTTTGTAGAATATACTTTCAACGCTTACAAAGCCTTTTATTTCGACTTGGGTATTCAAGGTAGCCTACCTGGACTCTGGTAAAAGTCTCGTTCGCGTTTATCGACTAAGGTAAACTCGTAATAGCCTCAAGCATACTAAGTGACGAACTTATCAGATTTGACAATAATTTGCACTGCAAAACATATTCTGTGATATTTTATCGAACAATAAATCCTCTGATTGATCATGGAATTTAATAGGGATTTTGAGATGATGGAGAAAATTTGTAGTTCAGCTGGATGATAATGGTGAAGTTTTGTTGTGTGAGATGGATGTTTTGGTTGTGGAGTGGTCAAACAACGACAGGTTTAGTCAGTCAGTTGCAACGTAGAACTTCGTACGTAAGTACATCAGTTCATGTTGCCATACCAAATCAGCACAGAAGTATAATTGTCAATTCAAATCCAATAGTAGAAGAGTTAGTAAGGGTATTGGAAGTAATCCGAGAGGTTAGGATTAGAAGATATTATTCAAGAAATATGATTCAGTGAGAAAAGTTTAGAAAGTCAAAACTAGAGTTGTTGAAGAATCCAGAAGATTGGGATTTGAGAGATCACAAAGAATAAATGCACCGGCGCCATTGCGAACGATTTTGATCCATGTCATTCAAGGTCTTTTCTAACCATCGATTGTTATCATCTCGCGGACCCCAACCAGGTAGTCGACAATTACCGACATGGCTAAGTCCACTTGTCAATGACTTCATGGATTTCTGCCATGTTTTGGTTTGGCCGCCCCTAACTTCAATAACAACAACAACCAATCAAGATTGAGGTTATCAGAACAAGCTATGCGTTAAACGTGGAGAAATTCAAATACTTCACTTCTATCTGAAGTTTGTTCTAATGATGTTGTTCAAGAAGAACAATGAATGCTCCACAACTAAAGGGGATTTTCGACTACGTTATGTATTTCTAACGAAAAGATGGAGTATACTATTTTTATGAAGTGAATAATTTAATCAGCGAACATCTATGGATACTGTAGACAACATCATTATCATCATCATAACTTATTTTAAATTAAATCTAAATGTTTACGGTAATTTCACACGGTTAGGTCAGTGCTTCCTCACAGTCTGATTGAGTGGTTAGCTTCCGTAAAATATGTTGTTACGTTTATGCATAGTCCCATCCCTAATGGTTGTTATATTAGGCTTACATTTGCTCATCTGTAATAACCAATGAAGATTTTATCAAAAACAAATGCGTACCAAGTTGTCATACTACTTTAACACATGTAGCTGAGTTTGCCAAAATGACATGTTACGTAATTTAAAATAATAGTTGGATCAATTATTAGTTATTTCCATAACTAATTGTTGTTATGCCATAACTAACCAATCAGATTGTGGTTTAAGCGCTCACCACGTTATCTAGTCTGACCGGTCTGTAAGCCTTCATTGTTGTAAATGACCTATTGATTGAAGGACGTTATTATTTTATTATATTGATGTGACTCATGCTTTTATTCATTTTCCAAAGACACGCTATACTGGTCGGTATGTTTATTCGTTTCCATTTATAGCTGTAATTTCCTTATTTATTATACTAATTTAATCGTTCTTTTTGTTTAGAAACAGATAAAGTTTAAAACCAAGTTGACTTTATTCTTACTATAGCTTTACCATAGACTCTATGCTCGTCAGTATTGCGTTTACTGTTCTAGAATTACATCTGTAGGACAAATTAAATCCTACATCAATGATGATGAAACGGATAAACTGGAACTAACTAACTAATGGCGACTTCATCTTTTCCATATACTTCAGCGTCTCCAACCAGAGATCACATTTATTATGATCAATCAACCAGATTATGTGACCTAGAATCAAGTTACGTATCGATTCATTGACTGAATGTATATCTCTATGTCTGCTAATGGTTAGGCGGAGTGAACTTATGTTTCATCCGACCAGTTCTTCTGGTTGTTGGTGCAGGTGAGATCTTGTATGATTCTTCTTTTCATTATTGTTGAGTCCATTGGTGTATGTAAAATTAAACTCAAATGATTATGTTAATTTATGAATAACATTTGATTGAAGAGCTTTCAGAACAGATGATTAATTACGCTATAAAATAAATCTTTCCTTCCGTTTTCGTATATTCTATTTAATCAAACCTCGTTTGTACAATGGCTGTAATTAGAAGCTGCATATCAATTTAGTTGGATGAATTTTATTTCATGCAATTGTTCAAGCAAACAGTCATGAGAATAAAAAGCGTAAGAGCAAAGTGAAGTGAAGTAGAGAAGGTGAGTAAGTCAACTCACTACGATAAGGCATGATTACCTATTTAGACAGAAATGAGCAATTTATTTATCGATCATGACCAACCATACTAGATTTTAAAAATGAACGAATGATAGAGTAAAGAGAAATGCAATCTATCATAATTTTGTATAGTCTGTGAATGAAAGCCATGCTACTCATTAATTTTACTTGGTCAGTTTAAGTATTGTCTTGACTCTATAATAAGTAATAACTAATCAATGAGAAGTTTCATTCGATTTGATTAAATAAATTGTTTTACTTGTGACAATAGATATTTCAAATAGTAGACTAACTTTTAATTTTGGCACACGATTAATTGTTTTCAATGGTCTAAGTACACGTAGTACACGTAATGACTTGATGGTATTTAAATTCTTTGCTGATGTACTTGTTCCAATTCGTCTGACCAAAATGAAAATAAAAAAGCAAACATACGAATTTGTCAATGAATTGAAGTCAACATATGAAATATAAGGGATAGGTATTCTATAATTTGTAATACAACCGAAATACTTATAAACTTTTATTGAATCAAAGTACTAAGTTATCGGTGCCAAGAATATTGATACTTCTAAGTAAACATACGATTAAGAACTATATATCAGATAGTTTCTAAGTCATCATTTAGGCTATTCTAATGGGCAAGGTCAGTGTGATTCACTGCTTGTGTCTGATAGATAGGATAACTTGGAATTAATTCATTTAAATAGGCACAATTTACTTCAGTGTTATCTTAGTAGTACTAACAGGAAATAGATTAGCTTTATTCAACTGAGTTTGCAAAACTTCTATGTTCGTCATTTGGTACGCTTGAAGCTATTACGAGTTTGCCTAGTCGGAAAACGAGAGCGAGGATTGAGGATCCGGTGACATGTCATGCTACTCAAATCCGATTATTCCAACCCCCATAGTAATTAAAAGAAGACAAGACCTGATATGAAGTAGAACCTGTATTCTACAAGCATCCAGAAAGTACGAGGTCCGAGTCCAGAAGAGAATCAGGATCCCGGCGGACAGGGTCCTGGTCATAGAACGTTACAGATAATGCGTATTTATGCATTTAGGTCGAATAGGAAACAGCATCGAAGTCTGTGACATTGACAGTTAAGACGACCAATAAGAAACAACATTGGAGCACGTGACATTGATATCTAGGACGACCATAAAATTGACCAGTAGGAATTAACCAATAAGAATTGACCAATAATTCTCTTAGAATATTGGATGAATATCCTAACAAAAACACTGAACATAATAGAAACTTGTGCCAATTGTTTTCGTTTAATGTCAAGAATAAGGCTGAACAAATGATTAAACTGAACATTTTCTTTCAAAATCAATCAGTTACTACTTATAACATTTTTATTTGATTATCTGAACAAGGTACCTGACTAGAATAACTAGAGTTGACTTTCAAACGAAACTTATCATCAGTTTATATTTTAATTTAAAAAAATATAATTCCAATCTACAATCAGTGTACTAACACAACAATAAATTTCAGACTTCAATAAGGCTGCTATCCTACTAATCTAACCACTTACAGTAGACAATATAAGGATGTGATGTTGCCATTAAAAATTATTGCCTTAAAAATCCATATTACGTCTAACTTTCATTTCAGTAAAGAATATGAAAAGATATACGAAATCAAGTTGTGTTCAGTGCAAACTCTCAATGATATTTAAATCTAATGTAACTGACAAGAATTCTGACTGATAAAAGTATTAGAACAGACATTAAAATAAGTTATACACTCGTAATACAAGTTTATCTACCATTTGAATAAGATATACTATCAATTTAACTGATAGGATTACAGATTTCTCATACAAACTAATTAGTATGGTTTTAGCCAATAGGCTAATCTAATAATTAGATAAAACGAATATGTGTTTATTTTTGACAAAACACTGTTCAAGTGTTTGTCTCACGATAAAGTCGTTTCTAAAAGTTTACTGCCATTTTATGTACAATTAAATAAAGCAAATGATAAGTAAGTTAAATTAGCGAACACAGTTCTAACTTGATCCATGAAAGTATGACTGAACAAGAAAATTTTAAAAGTTGATACAGATTAGTGTCAGATAAATAATTGCAGTACAATCATCTTCGCAATGGATTTGAATATGTTTTATTTGCCTCTGGTTTGTAATTCACTGCAATGTTATCAATAAATATACTTCACTTGACACTAACTAAATAGAGCAGATTAAAATTTGATTAATTATTATACTTCTTCAATAACTAATTTCATTTCACCTTTTAACCAATTCAATAAAAAAAATGATTGATGTATTCTTGCAGACTATCGATAGATAATAAGCTATTTTTTAAAAAAAAGCAAACTTACCCTAACGAGGTAGCTGATCTAAAAAGCAAATAAAAATAAAAAATTATGAAAGTAAAATATTTACTAAATTAAATTGAAATTATTATGCTAGTAACAAAATAAATTGTAAGTCTAGAGGCTCAGTACTCGTTGTAAAACTGGACTTTCCAAATTCTGTTGCCAACAGCCCAATTGATGCATACTATCGAGGAGTCTCATACTAGGATGAAACAGCTGTTCAGTGTTTCCTGGTTTCTGACAGCTGTTTAGTTAAATAAATAAGTATGCGACGCAAACGATTAAACTTAACTTACTTATTTATACTACTTATTAGTAGTTATTATATTATTGCATAATTTTTTGGGCGCTCACCTACTTGCAGTAGTTACTGAAATGTTTATTTATCTAGTCACTAGACTATATTTAGATAAAAACCAGGCACTTATTTCTTTTTTTTTATGAGCCTACCATTAATGATTTATTACTGATTTTATCACTGTGTCTGTAAGCCAATGACTTGAATTAATTTCATTCGGTCTAGAATTACTCACTTATTTATCTACATGCCTTTAGAAGTAAAAAGTCAAGTAATATATGCACTTATACTGCGAAATCTAACAGTCATTTTGTATAAGCATCATTCTATCCAATTATGATTATAGTTTCCATATGTGAGATTTTCAATGTTATTTTCATTGGATTTACAAATATTTTATTATTGTGTTTTATCTTTAAATTTCACACGAGAAACAAGTTATCACATATTGATTATGTCTACATTATATGAGAAAAGCATCCACTGAGTTACATTTATACAGTTAGATAGCCATTAGAGGATTAATAAGATTCAAATACTAATTAGCTTTGAGATATTACAGAAAATTTGTAATTCATTGTGTGAGCTGATTGTTTTGGTTGTGGAGCTTTCATTGTTCTGATGTGCTGATAATGTTGTTCAGTAGGAGAACAATGATGAAAGCTCCACAACCAAAACATTCAGCTAAGAGAACGAAATGCCATCACAGCTCATTAGCTTTTATTGCCGATGTTTAAATTTATTCGAATTCACATAAATATTGTCCAAGAAAAACTATTTTCAAATGGTAGCTATTGTAGAGTACATTAAACTTGATAATTTCAGCCAAGTTATATATTGAGATAATTTTTGATATTTTATAATTTCATAAATATTTACCAATAAATTTGCAAACAGTTTTTAAATTAATATTGGGGAATAACTAGTTTTTGCTGACTCCAATTTTCAAAAAAATGAATAAATATACTTTAGTGCCTCCACATATATTCGGGTTCGCTTACACTTAATTTGTTTAAGCCCTTTCGATTAATTTATTTAACCAAGCCAATTTGTATTGCAACAATTTATATGTACCATTCGTTTTTGTTATTCTCTGAGCTCACATGACGTGTCCCACTTGTCATTCGACCTTGTCAACCATTCGTCGCTTTTATTCATGTGTGTACATGCCTATCTCGGTGATCACATGTCTGTCTTATATTTTTCTGACTATATATTCTTCGTCATGCTCTATCTCAGGGACTTGGCTCAAGAGCCTTATCCAATTCACGTTTTATTCGCTGCTGCTCCGCTTTGCTTTGTGGTGTGTCCTAAATAAACGTATTCAACACTATGAGTTCGTTCACCTTCAGGTTTATAAACCGTCAAACGCTATTTAGTAACAACAGCTTGGACGAGCTAATTAATTACCGAGCATAAGAACACGCAGAAATCGGCCACCACAATGTTATGAAATGAATCTTCTCTCTCCTTTACTGTTTATCATACTTAGGCGAACTCCGTCTACGCGACGGCGATAATAAAGAGACAAATACGGATTTAGTTGGATGGGCTTATTTCATGAAATTGTTTACGGAGACAAATGTGAGAATAAAAAGGCATAAAAGCAAAGCAAAGTGAAGTGGACTGGAGAAGGCGATTGAGCCAACTCAATGAGAGCAGGCATGACTAAGAATTTATAGTCAGACTAAAATAAGCTAGACAGATGACAAGCGATGTCAGGAATGCATACAGATTTTTAAAAATTCACCAAGTCATAAGTGAGTTATAAACAAAGCCGAAAGGCATGTGACTAATTTGTTCAAAAAAGCTAGGACAAGCTATGTGTGCTCTACATATCAGTATACCCTGCTCTAGTGTTAAATTCATGTAAATAAATCCATGCTATAGGGTTAGGGTTATGCATGAATCGAACGCCTAGATGTTATTTTCTCTGTTTCATGTTTGAATCAATCACATGGGAGAATATCATATCCTCCATGTTTTCTGGGAATATTTTAACGCCTCGATGAAGTTCAGTTAAGATCAACTAGTTACAACAATGTAAATAATTTCTAAAACTTGCAATACCAATGCACACAGAGAGAAGTCATTAACAATCGACTACTCTAAATCCACTTAATTGATAACATCTTTATTAAACAAACAATATCAGTTTATGTTAAAAAAGATCAAATATAATAAAATGATATTTTTTTAGTATGTTTGTATATTTATCTGTTTTAGAGTATGCACTTATCTTGCTTGGAACAATGTTCACAGTTTTTTAATTGAATATACTTGTTTTTTTTTCTCCTGTATTAATTGTTACATTATTCCAGGTAAAAAAAGTAGTATTTTTATTTTCACAAAAAAAAATGCAAAATCAACAATGTTATCAGTTGTTCTATTAATAAATTCATTTTATCCTAAACTGATAACAGGGTACAATGATGATTTTTATTTTTTTTCTCATACTCGGTAATTTACAATTACAAAATAATGTAAGACATACTTTTGATCCTGTCTGAGGATTGTTAGCTGAACTGCATACCCTAGATTATGATACAACACTATCAAAAGCATCAGCTCAAGAATATACTTATGTCAATAAATATTAACTACTTTAAAGTCCTGGATATTAACGACTGCAAATTCAGTCAGTCAGTCAGTCAGTCAGCTGAAACGTAGAACTTCGTACGTGCGTATGTACATAAGTTCAGGTTGCCATACCACATTAGCACAGAGACGCAATTGTCAATTCAAATCCTATAATGGTAGAGATAGTAGAAATACCAAATCAATGTGATGAAGTGTGACCAAGTATATATAGTCAGGCACTAAAAAGCAATAATGTCAGTCAGTTGTAACGTAGAACTTCGTACGTATGTACATAAGTTCAGGTTGCCATACCACATTAGCACAGAGACGCGAATCCGGTAGCCCTGATGCTGCTTCCAGGGGTCTTGCTGGCGTAGGCATAGCATTGAGTCGTAGAGCTGAACAATCTCTCATTGACTGGATCCCAGTAGATAATCGCTTGTGCGTCGTCCGACTAAGCAGGACAGTAAGGATTCGAAAGGGTAGGGACACTCGTCGTTGCCTCTTCGTCATATCAGCCTACGCCCCCACTGACTGCAGTGCAGACGATGTAAAAGATGAGTTTTACAGAAAGCTTTCGAACCTCCTCCAAAAAGTTAAGCGCTCTGATATGGTTATAATGGCTGGTGACTTTAATGCTCAAGTAGGTAGACTGAGTGAGCAGAAAAGACACCTAGGTGGATGTTATGGTCTCGCGGCTCAAAGAACATACAATGGCGACCGTCTGTTGCAACTGTGCTCAGATAACCGCCTATTCCTAGCAAACACTAATTTTAAGCATAAGGAAAAACATTACTTGACCTGGCGACACGAAGTCGTCTCAATGTTGGATGCAACTAGATCATATCGTCATCAGCCACCGACGGAGGGGTTCGATAGAATAAGCAATAATAAACGAAGTAAGCATGCACCTACACACTCGAATGAAAACTGCTAAGCAAATGAATGAATAAGAGACAAGATCCGCAGACGTGTGAGTAACTCGATAAGAATCCATGAATTAATTTGTTGGAAGCTTGGGAGAAGCCAAATGGGCTCGACATATTAGTACGCACCACAAGATGCTAATCACTAATCACATAATGAAAAATTAAAATTTTTTATTCTAAATCCATTTTTTTGAACAATAACTTTCCATGATATTTGCTACGTTTATATAAAGAATATCATGACCCAAAATAATAATCTTCTGCTAAGCTAAAAAGATCTGATCTCAGTCAGTCAGTCAGTTGCAACGCAAGAACTTCGTACGTATGTACATACGTTCATGTTGCCATACCACATTAGCACAGAGACGCAAATGTCTAATCAAATCCCATAGTGATAAAGATAGTAGAGGTATTAATGGTAATGAAGAAGACTATGGTTTGAAGATATTATTCAAGAAGTATAATTCAGTGAGATAAGGATAGAAAGACAAAGGTAGAGATGCTGACGAATCCAGAATATTAGGACATGAGACAGCACAACGAATGGATGCACTTGCGCCATCAATCACATAAGAATGTGTAAAAAATCACTTTTGATGACTATCAAAATATATCTAGTCGCGAAAATGAATAGCTTGTTTGATCAAAAGAAAAATGCTCTTAACAGATAAACTCTGTCCAATTTAACTATTAAAACGAAGCATTCGGACGATATCAAGAGAGAAAATGATTGTTATCAGTTAACGTGACAGGTAAGGCTACTGAAATGTTTTGTCATTCACCAACTATCAATGATTAGTTAGAATGTAGTAATTCATTGAAATTCTATATATTTTATACAAATAAATCTCCTAATTGATAAGATTATCTATTTATGTTTAACATCAAACGGTGACTTGTAGAAAACAATTTTCCAAAGTTTAATTAATGTGAATTCATCTCTGTTTTTCAATATGTGAATAGTTAATCCTTTAATCTTCTTAACCATTGCTCATTTCTGTTAGTTTATATTCTGTAATCAAGGTGAACAAATTGTTGATCATAATACAGTCACATATTTTATGATTGTCTTATTTTCTTGTACAAATCGATCGATATCATTGTATCAGTGATTCAATTTAAAAATCTTTTAAAATCATATCTTGTAGGTTGATTTGAAATATTATCAAAAGAACCGCCCCAAATTTTAAATGAATAATTGTACAAGAAATATTTTTATAACCTGACCTATCATTATAAAACTATTCAAAAATGGTATATGTTTTCATATAAAGTTCATCAACAGGTTGAAATGAATGATTTTTAGGTGCTGATATTATTTAAGGGTTTAAGGAGACCAGGAATGCCGTTTCGTGAACTCGCATCGTTTGCATTAGCGGTGCAGTGAGATGAAGGAGTGTGAGAAGAGTTAGTCGTGGAGATAAGAGAGATATTAGGGGGTGTAAGAAGGATTTGATTTTGACCAATTTAGTCTCTCGTGCTGTTACGTGTATGAGGGCGGATGGCACACCATGGAAGGTTGATTCTTGAGGAACCTAAAAACGAAAGTAGATTAGTGTTGGTCTTGGAGACCTGGGTGCGTGACCGCAGAGTCCAGGGGACAACTGCTTGGGGCCGGTCACGCACGGCTTTTTGATGAAAAGTTTTTTGAGTATGAGCTCCGCTCTTGAAAGCCTTTAGTAGGCACCCTAACCGCCGAAGACGGAAATCCGTGAGGTAGGGTGAGGTGTGACATTTTTAGGGTCGACTTTTTCTAATCCTTCCTTTCTTGTGAGAAGGCAGCATCGCTGCAGATGCCGGTTGTCCGAGGGAAACACCTTACTGCTGTCACACCCCTCTGCAGTCAGCAGTACGACTTCGCCCCCAGATCTTGAGTAGCTGCTTTTAGTCTCATTGTTCTCCAATCGACCTGCCTGGCATGGTAGAACCTTCAGGAACATATGTTCCAGCCAATATAGCTCGGTTGGGTCATCACGATAGGCAAGCCCGACCATCATGTCAAGGTAGCAGCTACGGTCAGGTGATATTATTTAAAAGGAAGTCATAAGCAATTATTAAACAATCGCATTGTATGACTGTTAGATTCATTTGTGAATTAAATTGTTTTAATGAACAATTTCATACGATATTAATTATTAACTAGATTTTATTATAGGTTTGTGGAGACTGTTGGGTTTCTTTGAGAAGATGAATCGGTCATTATCAGACCACCATCAGAAGCCTGGAAGCACTAGACTGCCATCTACGCATGACCAGTGGAGTTCAAACCTACCATGTGTAGGCAATTCTATACCGAAGACGATGGGTGAAGTTGCGCAAGATCCCTAGACTGACTGATCAGAGTTAGACACTAACACCATCGGCTCAGTGGTCTGGAGGTTAAGCGTTCGCACATAAAACCGAAGGTCTTCGCTCGGATCCCTGTAAAACTGAGATTGCGGATGCGCACTGATGATGAGTTGTACACTTGGACAAAACGACCATCCAGTACTTCAAGGTCTCTATTAGTGATCTAACATTGATTGATTCATGATTTCAATGAGACTAGTTTTCAATTTACCTGCCTCATTTCACTCTCATCAAATGTTGACTACTACTATGCTAACATGTTCACATTATTTCAACATTTGGTAATTCACACTAATGAATGCCCTATTAGGTAATGCAATGTGTTTGAAGGAAACGTCACGGAAATGCATATACATTGCAATTAACTTCATGTGATTCATGTGATGCCTTTAATGACCATCTAAATGAAATAATCGTCAATTTTATAGAGCTAAATTATGATCGATTGGATTTGAAAATGCGAAAGATATTACTGTTAAGACATTCAATAGATGAATTACAATATCAAGAATTAATTTGTTTTAGATATAGTGACCTGTTGTTTAAAGAAATTAAGTTATTAATTAGTTACGCTTCGTTTGGCACTGAACACTTGTTGTACATTGTGAACAATTAATAAGACAAAATAAAATAACTCTTCAGTGCTCTCTAATTTCCGATGATTCGTTAACCGATTTCAACTTACGATGGGAATTACTGTGATTGAAATCATAAATCGATCATTTTTAGATCGTCAATAGAAACCTTGAAGTATTGGACGGCTGTTTTGTCCTAGTATGGGACTTGTCAGCAGTGCGCACCCATGACTTTCGATTGCGGGAATCTAACCCAGAACCTTTGGTCTCGTGCGCGAATGCTAAATCTCTAGACCACTTAGCCGGCCGGCATCTAACGGTGTTAATATCAAACTTCGATCAATCTTCGGTACTGCGCAACCTCACCCATTGTCTTCGGTAAGTAACTGCCTACACATGACAAGATTGAACTACACAGGTTCTAAATGGTGGTCGAACAATGATTAGCTCATAATTTCAATGAAATTAAACAACCTTCACAACTTTACAATGAAAAACCCTAGTGTAGTGTATTATTTCCACTATTAGTGAGAACAAAATATCACTGACAAGAGAGTTAGTTCCAACACGTTGACCATTGAAGTAACATAGTTATTGAAATACGCAAAGAAATACGCAAGTTAACTGCTTCATTAGTCACATAATGTCAGTTTATAATAACAAAAATATCTTTGAAATTTATTTGCTTTCATATTTTATCGCATAATTATCATAAATTTATTACGTATTAAATTTATTCTATACAAAATGCATACCGGAAGTATGATTTTTTTGTTATTCTTCTATGGTGTAGTTAGTATATACGATAATTTTAATTACAGATTTATACAGTTGATTTTAGTCAATCAGTAAAGAGATAAATCTTTATAGTACTTATATTTATAATTCATATTTAATTTATTAAATAATATATGCATATATGTATATATATCATACAATGTCAGTCAGTCAGTCAGTTAGATGCAACGTAGAACTTCGTACGTAAGTACATCAGTTCATGTCGTCATGCCACATCAGCACACAGATATAATTGTCAATTCAAATCCAATAGTACAAGAGGTAGTAAAGGTATTAGAAGTAATCGAAGAGGTTAGGATTAGAAGATATTACTCAAGAAGTATGATTGAATAAGAAAAGTTTAGAAAGTCAAAACTAGAGGTGTTGAAGAAACCAGAAGGTTAGGATTTGAGAGAACACAAAGAATAAATGCACCAGCGCCATTGCGAACGATTTTGAGCCATGTCATTCAAGGTCTCTAACCATTGGTAACTTTCGTCTCGCGGACCCCAACCAGGTAGTCGACAATTACCGACATGGCTCAGTCCACTCGTCAATGACTTCATGGACTTCTGCCATGTTTTGGTTTGGCCGCCTCTAACTTTCTTCCAACCTATTCCTACACTACAAAACAAAGCTCGTCGAGGCAGTCGGTGGTTAGGCATACGCAACACATGTCCCAATCACCTCAACTGATGAAGTTTCATTACTTCATCTATTGATCTGCCATATTCTTACCTAGCACCTGATTCCTAATGACAGCGTTGCTCACATCATACAATGTACATACAATAGAATGAAATTTTCTCATCTGTGCAAAACTCAGTGGTCAACAATCATTTGAATATACATCAATCAATCGAAACTTACCTTACTACAAATGCTACTAAAGCAAAGAATACAACAATTGCATCAAGTATATTCCATGTATCACGAAAATATGAACCAGGATGTAGTACAACGCCTAGATCAATAACCTGGAAAATTAGTAACATTAGCAAAAAAAATCATTATAGTTAATTTCGATTAAATGAGAAACTTTAATTGATGTCGATTAGTTTAGTTGTTTGTTTCTGTTTGACAAGTAATTTTTGACGCATCGTATCCATATACAGCTATTCTGGGGTTACTGTCAGTCGAAAGCCCGAATAAAGAAGAAGGGTAGGACGTAGGGTTAACGACCTCATGCCGTAGGAAACCAACTTGTTAAAAAAAGCGCTAACCAGAACATATGATTCAAATAACAGCAAGTAAGCAAGTCCGTGTATATTTAAGCCTAGATTTCATTCAAGTATTGATTACATATGGTAAAAATCGTAGTCACTAATCATGAACTTTGATGTAGAGTACTCTGGATGATAGAAATTCTATTGAAAAGACTGTAAATAATCACCTACTGAGATGGATGGGATATATCTATTTGACTAACCCCACCTATCCTTCAGTTTATCTATGACTGATGAGAAAAATTTAAAAATGAGCAAACGAACACATCTAACTAACTTCTAACATTGTTTCCTAAAGTAATATCTTTCTAAATACAGACTCTATTCAAATATAATTGATAGTAATTACTATAGGGGACATCTGTTTAGTTTCACACATTAATTTGCCCTATAAATGCATTGCGGTATGAGGTAATTTTCATATCTGTACAAATCGCTTACATTTTTAAACAAAATAATTTTACAAATCCTCACTAACAATTTCTTGAATAACTTTGAACCTATAGCTATAGAAGTGCAGAGATTCATGGTCTAAATATTACTGATAGATTAACTGAAGTTTAGTCTTGAAGACTTAAATATGTAATTGTGGGAAAAAATGAATTTTATTAAGAGAATTTCTTTTCATTCAGTTACTAATCAATAAATCATTTATCTAAACCCTACCAGTTTCAAAAACAGATTTTACTAAACTATTCATCATTTTGTAAACGTAATCCCATCAAGATTGATTTATTTACAAATTGAGTTATGGAAATTAGTGTTTTTACACATCTGAAATCATCAATCAATCATTGTTAGATCACCATTAGAAACCCGGAGGCACTGGACGGCCGTTTCGTTCTGGTATGGGACTCATCAGCAGTGTGCATCCTTGACTCCTGCACCTCGCAGGATTCGAACCAGGGACATTCGGTATTGTGTGCAAACGCCTAACAATTGGACCACTGGATCGGCATCCAACATCCCGGGTTCGAATCCTGCGATTAGCAGGAGTCGTGGATGCGCACTGCTAATGAGTCCGATACCAGGACGAAACGGCCGTCTTCCAGTGCTTCCAGGCTTCTAATGGTGGTCTAACAATGACACAACACAAACCTCCAAAACTCTACCCGAAAATTATTGTAAGCTTTGGATCATTGAGTACATTTTCACTTTAATGTATGCATTTCTGATGATATGGCTTCCTTATTCCCATAATAAACGTGGATTCTATATGTACCAACTGATTGAGTAACTTACTAGTTTTGTACTCGATAAGGTAAAATTGGTGATCAAAATCTATTAGAGAGCATCGAATTGATGTGAGACAAATAATCTTCACGTTTTGTCAATTAGTACTCAACTAAATTCTATTGTTCACGTCATCAATTCCTTTTATCAGATGACTAGTTGAATTTTTAATAACCACATTTGAATAGCATTTCACAAATATTTACACTTATTTTATTGATCAAACTAACTGATAGATTTTTATTACGGAGTTGTGAAGATAGTTGAGTTTCATTGAAATCATAAAACCGATCATTCCTAGACCATAATTAGAAACGTAAAAGCAATGGACTGCCGTTTCGTCCTAGTATGGGACTCATCAGTGAGTGGACTCATCAGCTCAGATATCTAGTGAGACGCCATGACTAATGGAGTTCAACCCATTCCGTCGGTAGTCAGTTGCCTACTGAAGACAATGGGTATAATCGCGCAATAATTTGTGTCGACTAAAGTTCAACATTACCACCGTTGGATTCTACGTCAGTGATCTAAAGGCTAAGCAGTAGCACGGGAGACCGAAAGTCCTAGGTTCGATTTTTGTTTGCAAGGTCATGGATGCACACTTCCGATAAATCTCACCTTAGGATGAAACAGTGAACCAGAAGCCGTTAGGTTTCTAACGATGGTCTAGAAATGATTAATTCATGATTTCGATGTTACTGAACGAATAAAATAAATCACATTTCAATAAATGCATTTTTTGCTTATTAATCTTTTCAAATAAGAAAAAAAAGGAAGATTCAACTTACTTTTAAAATTAATTCAATTGTAAATACACCAGTAAATGCATAATCAAAATGTTCTAATATTGTATTACGTTTTGATTGTTCCGAAATTGGATCTTCAGCAGCTAAAGCAATACTACTTGCACAAATTACAATCATAATAAATAAATCAAAATAACGTAAATTCACTACAAAATGACAAAAACGTCGAATTCTGTAACGAGAATTGGAAAAAGGTTGGAAAGAGAGAAAAAGTTAACCAACTGGATGAAAATTAAAGCGAAAATCAATTATTCAAACTCTTATAAACAGTACCAAACAACAGTACTCAAACAACTAGCCCCAGATTGCCCATCAACAGGAGCGAATTTCCCCTTGACATCCTGCTACATACCTTCAACCTACCGGCAGCCCCACTAAGAGAAGAAACTCAGCGAAAAGCTGATCTCCGTTCCAGAAGGTATCCTCTCAGACAGCAGCGAACAACAGTCAATATGCAAGTCGACCACAGGAGCGCACGCTATTAAAAAGGGGAGGAGTGTTAGGAACGTTAAATCCCTAGAACTCATTTGATGAAGGCCTTTATTCTGGATTTTGTTCATGAGCTGATCAGGTGATCCTGAGATCACATTTCCCACCAGGAAAATCCTTGGCTATCATTGGTTGATGTGTTGCTTTAGTACGCTATTTTTGTGACTCTACCAAGGACGTTTTTATCATGTATAAATAAACGCGATTTGTGTGCTTGAGATCATTGTATTTTCTGGATGCTTGTAGAATACACTTTCTACGCCATATCAAGACTTTTCTCTTCAGTTAGTTGGGGCAACGGATCAGAGTATCCTACCGTGTCACTGGATCATTGTCTCGTTCTCATTTATCGACTTAGGGTGAACTCGTAACAGATTCAAGCATATCAACTGACGAGCATAACAGAAATACTTTTGTTAGGGTGGCATTCAGTTTGAAACCTTTTTCAATGACTTGCCGTAGATTGCTTGCAATAGCTTATTATCTGAATAAAATCCACTACAATCTTTAATTACTTAGATTGGTGACAATAGTTTCAATCCGGACTAAAGACTGAATAAATATGATATGGATTACTACTCAACGATCATATGGTGTAAATAATTGATCGTCATGCTACCAATCAAATCACTAGACAGTATCCTTGATATGCACTGAAAAATGTGTTATTTTATATTACATGAATGATGTTATCTTCTCTACAGAGTTGTGGAGATTGTTTAGTTCCATTGAAATCATGAATCAATCATTGATAGACCAGTATTAAAAAACTGAAAGCACTGGACGACTGTCTCAACCTAGTATGAGACTAATTAGCAGTATGCATCCACGACTCTCATTCGAGGGAATAGAGTCAAGGACCTTTTGAACTTGAGAGTGAACGCCTAACCTTTAGATCACTGAGACGGTGACAGCAAGGATCGAGTATGCGCACTGCTAATGAGTCTCATACTAGGACGAAACGGTCGTCTAGTGCTTCCAGACTTCTAATGCTGGTCTAACAATGATCGATTGATTATTTCAATGAAAACTACATTACAAATTGGTCAACTCGTAATGTACTGTGATATCTAAGAATTTTCTTCAAGTGTCGATTGTAGAGCAACACAAAAGTGTCTATCTACTTGTATCTCAGTTTTACGCTAATGTCCGATTTCATGTTATAGAAAGTAAATTATATAGAATTCATTTTTTAATGTATGGTCATCAATCCAGGTAACTCAACGTTTAATTTAGCAATACGAAGTATGTATTACGGGGTTATGAAGATTGTTAAGTTTTTTTTGAAACCATGAGTAGATCAATGTTAGACCACCATTATAAACCTGGAATCACTGGACAGCCGTTTCGTCCTGGTATGGTACTCATCAGCAATGCGCATCCACGACTCCTGCACCCCGCAGGATTCGAACCCAGGACCTTCGGTATTGTAGCCGAACGCCTAACCATCGGACCGTCGGATATCAACACCGTTAGTTACCGGCTCATGGTTTCAAAAAAAAAATACGAAGAATGTACAAAGATCAAAGATCACTAGCCAATACGATTTTAATGTACATACAATGAGTTATATCAAACACTTTCGACAATTTTCCCATTTCATCAGTGAGTGGGTGTTTCATATTCAAATGCGATTCCTATCAAACCTTTCAAAACTATCCACAACTTTATCTTATGCATGTTATAGTATGGCCAAGATAAACGCAAGCATATCGATAGATACCACTTGAAATAATATCCAGTATTAAACAACCAAATGAATAGAAAAGTATTCAAAACTGATCAATATAACACATTATTCGCATAATGAAAATGTAAAGAGTAATCTCAGTCTTGTAATATAAAAAGTTGGTTTGATTCGCGATTATCTATAATGTCTCAGAGTATTGTTTTCACTTTTTTCAATGAAATTCACTGATACATTCTACATATAACATGAAATACCAGAAGAAAACAGATAAATTAATCCAAAAAGCTTTCATTCACTGAATTTTTTTTCGATCGATAAAGCAAATATACTTAAATTAATTTCAACTTTCGTGTCTCTTATTGATTTATAGGGAAAAAAACCGGTCAATATTATTTTTTTTTCTTTTGCATACTTACGCATTAGTCGGTGCAAAAATAAACATTGAACTATACGGAAGAACTGGTTTTCCTTGAATTTGTGACGATCCTTGTAATCTAGCTGTATCATCACTTTCCAATGATGTAAAATTTACATTGGTCACTGTGATTAAAATAGTGTTTAAAAAAAACAACTTGATTTCATCTCCCATTTTTATTATTGTAAGACGTAGTAGATAAAAACAGTTTAACAAATAAAAACCCACACTGATAAATTCTGAGAAGAACAAAACTTACTATATATGTTATTGGGGAAGTTAGATCCCCAGAACTCGATTACAACTCGACTGAGTTATGTTGGTGATAAGTTCGTCACTTAGTATGCTTGAGGCTATTACGAGTTTACCTTAGTCGATAAACGCGAACGAGACAATAAACCAGCGTCCAGGTAGGCGGCTACCTTGAATCCGAGGCTGAAGTGAAAAGGCTTTGTAAGCGTAGAACGTATATTCTACAAACACCCAGCAATCACAGTACAATCAAGCATACAACTCTCGTTTATTTATACAACATAGAAACGTCCTTGAGACAGTTAAGATAGATGTATGCTACGCGGTTGGGGTCCACAAGACGAAAGTCACCGATGATTAGAGACCTTGAAGGACACGGCTCAAAATCGCTTGCAATGGCGCTACTGAATCCACTCTTTGTGTTCTCTCAAATTTCAATCTTCTGAATTCATCATCTCTATCTTTTGTTTTCTAAATCAAGAAAGATCAAGAAAGGAAGAGTGGGAACACAATGGAATTTGTATGAAACACATGAACAGTGAAATGTCAGACAATGGATTGATGATGAATTGATGTTTCGCAAATTAACCGTTTACGATATGGTTTTCCTATTTTACTGAGTAACTCTGTAATTTTCGTTAAATACAGTTCGGTTGCCCTCACCTGTGTTCTCCTTCACTAAACTATGTGTTGTTCTATTGAAAAAGGAAATTATAAAGTTTTATGACATGCGCAAAACACTTTATTTGATTAAATGTTCATTTGAATTACTTTTTTCTTTGTTTGTTTGTTCGGTATTTTCGATTTCAATCAAAATAGTATCATCGTCAAGAACAAAAATCATATTTTACTGCTTCAGTTGATACGGAACAACAAGCTTATCATAATTATTGTAATACATTATTGTATTTCAATTCTGCATTCACTGTTATGTTCTCTGTAGAATGTATGCTGAAAATTATGGCTTTTGGACCAAAGGTATGTCGTGTCAAGTGTTGTTTTTATTTATTCTAGTTTAAGTGAATTGTCTTTTCAGTTTTATGAACACTGGATTGAGACTAATTGAAAACTATGAAAGCGCTTTATAGCTTTTTCACTATAAATATGGAATTTTGAATTTTATGTTTTCGCGCCAAAGACCTTCAGCTTGCCTATCCCACTCGGAAAATCCGTGACTGTCATTGGTTGATGGATTATTATAGTATGTTATCATTGTATAAATAAGCTTGAGTTGTCTTCTTCTGGACTTCGTACTTTCTGGGAGTTTGTGGAATACATTTCCTATGTCTTAGTAAGACTTCTTCCTCTAGTTAGTGGGTCCTGGGACAACGGATTATAATAGCCTATCGTGTCACTGAGTCATTGACTTTCGTCCCGTTTACCAAGTAAGATGAACTTGTAATAGTTTTGAGCATATCATATACACTTTGAACCTCGTGAAGTAGAAAATATGGAAGAGATTATGGTAGACACATTATAATCCAGTTTGATTGTTGCCAAAATGATATATTTGTGCAGGTTGAGTTTCTCCGAAACCATGAATCGATCTATGTAAGACCTGGAAGCAGTTAACCACAGACGTGGGGTAGAGCAATACCGCTGATTGATGAAAGTTCGACATTACTACGGTTGGATGCTGGCTTAGTGATCTAAAGGTTAGGCGTTTTCGCATGAGACTGAAGGTTCTAAGTTCGACTCACTTGTGTGGGGATCGTGGAAGAAACGGTGGACAAGTGCTTCCAGGTTTCTAATTGCGTTTCTAACATCGACTGATTCATGATTTTGATAATATAGATTGACTTACAAATCAATGGCAAAACTTTTTCAATTCTTCTTATAACGTGGAAAGTATTCTCTGATGAGGTTTAAGAACTAAAACAAATCTACTTTTCATTTTTGACTGACCGAACTGAGAATTCGTATATCTTTATATCTTATTGGATAAAGATATTTCAGACATGATATATGTTATTTCAGTGAATCAAGAATAATTATTGTTAGTTTAACCATAATCAACATTTATTCATGCTATAAAATACAATTAATAATTACTTGGTTCCATTTTAGATAGGATTTAGACAATGAGTTTTCTAATTTTTAAACATAATTTTTCTAAAAACTAGACATTTAAAGCGAGACAAAATGTCAAATTATCCACTAACGTTTTGGCAGATGAAACTTTCGTTGTAACTAATCATTTCGAAGAAAAAAAGTCACTGTTTTCAGAATTTCTCTGTATTTATTGGGTTCGTCACTTAGTCGGTAAACGCGAACGAGACTTTTACCAGCGTCCAGGTAGGCTACCTTGAATCCCCAAATAAAGTAAGAAGGCTTTGTAAGCGTAGAACGTGTATTCTACAAACACCCAGCAATCACAGTACAATCAAGCATACAACTCTTGTTTATTTATACAACATAGAAACGTCCTTGAGACAGTTAAGATAGATGTATGCTACGCGGTTGGGGTCCACAAGACGAAAGTCACCGATGATTAGAGACCTTGAAGGACACGGCTCAAAATCGCTTGCAATGGCGCTACTGAATCCACTCTTTGTGTTCTCTCAAATTTCAATCTTCTGAATTCATCATCTCCATCTTTTGTTTTCTAAATTTATCCTACTCAATTATACTTCTTGAATAATATCTTTGAACCCTAACCATCTACATTACTGCTGATATTTCTATTATCGCTACCACTATCGAATTTGAACTGACAGTTGCGTCTCTATGCTAATGCGGTACGGCAACCTGAACTGATGCACTAACGTACAAAGTTCTGCGCTGTATATGTCTGTCTGTCTGTCTAACGGATTTCATGTCTCTACTACTGAGATTCAGTTTATAAGTTAACTAGTAGTGTAGTGAAGGAGAACACAGAGTTACTCAGTAAAATAGGAAAACCATATCGTAAACGGTTAATTTGCACATCTTCAATCCATCATCAATCCATTGTCTGACATTTCAATATTCATGCGTTTCATACAAATTCCATTGTGTTCCCACTCTTCTTCCTTTCTTGATCTTCCCCCATCTTCTGCTGCCAGACATTACGTTTTCACTCGTGTCATATACTACTTATAAGTAGCGCGCACCACAGTAGTACATAGGTTGCGTTCAATAAAAAGTAATTTTAACTTTATCTAACACATCAATCGTGCGATGAAGTTTCACATGGGCTTATAAAAAAGCAAATTTACAACTAAGACAATGATCAATAATGGACTTACTGTGATGAAACATAAAATTATCCTTTTGTACACCGGTTCTATATTTAATGATTTCATTTAAATTCTCTTGCATTGTACTATAGGGGAAAAGATATTAAAAAAAGACAGTTAATTCATGTAATAAGGTAAGAAAATGAAAAGAATTTGAATTTATAGCTGATTTCATAAACTTGTTGTAAATAATAAATGACAAAAGAATGATTTAGAAGGTAATTTTCAATGATATATTGATGTATTTTGAAAAATTATAGAAAATCAAGGTCTACTAGGCAGCTGTCATTTTTTACTTAGTTTATGATCTCAATGAAATGTTGAATGATTCGAGTTGGACAGAAAAAAAATGCCATCTTATCCTTCAATTTGAGCTAATGGACAATTGTATCTGCGAAGATGAGGTAAATGATGCTCTTCGGCTGACTTAGATGCGCATCATCGAGTTTCACAATCTGATAAGTTGCCTATGCAGTATTTCGGTCAGATAACATAACATAACATGTCGAGTGATTCAAGGTGGACAGACTTCAATTCGAACTAATGGACAATCACCACTGCAATGCTGAGTGAGATAGATGATGCTCTTCAGATGACTTAGACTCTCATCATCACATTTCTCATTCTGGTATGTTGTTATCTATGAGGTATATTGGTTAGATAACATTCCACATTTTTGGATTGTCTAGTTTACAACAAAAAGGAATTCTAGTTCTCCCTGCAAAAATAACGATATAGATTCTTTTTTTAAAGAAAAGTGCTCAGTACAAGCGTATATCAAAATAATTGGAATATAAGTGTTTTTTTCAAAAAGATATCAGCTTTTGCATCAACTGTTGTACAAGATACTATAATAACATGCATGTTTTTTCACGAGTATTATCTATTGACTAGGAAATGAAACGGAAAAAAACTTCAAAAATACTAGTCTTTATCAGTAACAATATAACTAATTATACTTCTTTTTGGATAAGCCGCCATTTATCTAGGATAAAATGTTTTATTGTTCAATGAACGAAAACTGTCAGTATTATTATTATTATTATTATTATTATTGTTATTATTATTATCATTTATCTTATCATTCATGTTCAATGTTTCAACAGATGGTAATGTTGAAATGACAGAAAAGTAAACATATTTAGTTAGACAATGGAGTTATTTTATTATTTCCCCGGTTGTTTTTTTCACTCACTCACTCACTCACATATCGAGTGTATTACACACACGTTCATAACAAATTAGTTGGAGGCATATAATAATAATAATAGTAAATGTATTCAGTTGTGAATAATTTAAAACGATCTTTTCAGCTGGTTTTGAGTTGTTTGATTTGATCGGATTCAATCACATATCCTAATAATCGATCCACACGATAATGCTAAAGTAAAATACTAATGAGAATACATATGAAGGTTGAATGTCAAAAATGAATCTAAGCATACAAAACTCTTTAGGTATATATTGGAAGATTTTCACAAACTTAGACAAGAATATATAGGCCGTAAGCTTGAATAGACGAGTAAAGCATTACATTGTTCGCATTGACTTAATAAACAGTCTTGACCGGTTTAAAATTTTGCAGATTTACATATTAATATCACGCTATATCAGAGTGAAGCTTCAATTAAATATTCAATTAGAATAATATGATTCGCCTATATACGTTGTACTGATTCATATACGTTTACGCTTAAATTTCCCACCTACGATGAAGTTTTGAGACATCTGATCTATTGGAACTTGAACTGCCCATCAGCTAGTCTATAATGGAGATTTTCATCTACGTGACTGCATGATCTTCAAATCACTACTAGGTAATTGTTTGAAAATGAAGTCCCAACTAAAAATGTATTGTATAGATAATCTATACAATCGGAAGGTTTACTTAAACATTTCACCAGTCATCTATGAAACTAATATCTCAGAGGAGTTATTCTCGACATCTCTATTACTCGAGTTTCTATTTAAGGCAACTTTGATAGTAGATGGGTAGAATAATACGCCAACAAGACAATAAGCAAACATTCAATAAATTTGTTGATATTCAGAAACAGAATTCAGTCCACTAGTAATCAGATATCTAATCTGATAATAAATTGAAAATTTTTTGTAACATCCTAAAAAAGTATTAAGGTTATTCAAGATTTATAGTATAGTAAGTAAGAGAAAAGACTAAGACAAAACGTAGATGTACTATATAGAGTACGATAAAACACAACATGGGTCAACCAAATGACTCTTGATGGACACGCCTTGGAGGACGTTAACGCCTTTACATATATGGGCAGCATCATCGACAACCAAGGTGGATCCGATAAAGATGTGAGGGCGCGGATTGGCAAAGCAAGGGCTGCATTTCTACAGTTGAAAAATATCTGGAACTCCAAACAAATATCAATCAACACCAAAATCAGGATTTTCAATACAAATGTCGAGACAGTTATACTGTAAGGAGAGGAAACTTGGAGAACTACCAGAGTCATTATCCAGAAGATACAAGTATTCGTTAATAGTTGTCTACGCAAAATACTTTGGATTCGTTGGCCGGACACTATCAGCAACAACTTACTGATGTGGAGAACAAACCAGATTCCAGCGGAGTTGGAAATCAGGAAGAAGCGGTGGAAGTGGATAGGACACACATTGCGGAAAGCACCTAACTGCGTCACAAGACAAGCCCTCACATGGAACCCTCAAGGCAAAAGGAAAAGAGGAAGGCCAAAGAATACATTACGCCGAGAAATAGAGAAAGATATGAGAGGAATGAACAAACATTGGACAGAACTGGAGAAGGAAGCCCAGGACAGAGTTGGTTGGAGAAAACTGGTGGGCGGCCTATGTTCCATTGGGGGTAACAGGCGTAATTAAGTAAGTAAGTACTATATAGAGGCGAAAATGTCAAATGAATATGTGAATAATATGGCGATCACGGTTGAAACTAACACAATCCCCTTTTTTAAAAACTTTTCAGAAAAGTATTATGTATATTTAAAAGGAACATTAAATTCTCTAACCGATAACTGTTCCACTGATGTAGTAGGAGTGAAATATTCCTTTTTACTGTTTAAATGTCCATTTTATCATGTCAAGGCAATAAATGCACTTTGAATGCCTATATATATCAGACAAACCGGTCAACTGTTCAGTTTTTGAAGATTTTGCCATATTTCAATCTTCAAATTTATGTAAACATGAAATAATTTACGAAACAAAACCAGTTTAACAATGTAATGGACTAGTTTGCGTGACTTTTGCTTGGCAGATTATATTAACTATTCAGTCAATATCGGGCGGCAGGTAGTCTCCCTTCAATTACATGAGATGTTCTCAAAAAAGGAAACTAGAATTGATTGAAATTAGAAATGTGCAACTCCATGGTGAACAGATACTACTGAAAAGTCAGATCAAGTGACTGACCGATGTTTGCCGGTTACAAATGGTTGCCTACTTGAGCTCAATCCATAATAAAAATCAGTATGACAGCAAAAGCATTGTACATGTAGATTAGTTTTATATTATATGAATCTATAAATTAATTTTGAACTGGAGGACTATCGAAAACCATTAAGTACAAGATAACTGTTCTTTAGTGTGTACAAGTATGTCGAGCCCACAAGGCATGTTCCATCCTTTGGACAAATTAACTAATTCATTTTTCCGAAGTCATTATTCACACGTCTTTCGACCCTGGCTACTTTTAATTGAATGTGCGTGTGTGTGCACGCTTACCTAACTTATCACATGTCAAGTTTATATTTGTCTGACTATAAATATTTATGCCTTATTACAAGAAGTTGGCCCAATCGCCTTCTCTACTTCGGTTTTCTTTGCTTTCACGCTTAGTATTTTCATGTCTGTCTGAGAGAATGACTGCATGGAAGAAATTCATCTGTTAAACCGTATTTGGCTTCTTGTTACCGCCGTCGCACAAACGTAATTTGCTTAAGAATGATACAGAAATTGAAGTGAAAATTTATTTTATCCCATACTTGACTCAAGCTGGAGTCAGATCGCGAGCCACTAAAGTGACGAGTCCTACTTTGAAGTCAAGGCAGCCATTGATTAAGGATTCTTTAACAAAGTAACACATGACCATCCTACGACCTAAATAATCAAACTCAGGATCTTCAGAGCTCATGAATTTCGCATTCAGTTGAAATTCATATTCACAATTTGTTATGCTCATCAACTTATATGCTTGAAACTATTACAAGTTGATCTTAGTCGATAAACGAGAGCGAAGACAAATGATCCAGTGATGCGATAAGCTACTCTAATCCAAGCGTCTCAAGGCCCCCACTAAGTAGGGGAAGAAGTCTTGACAAGACGTAGAAAGTGTATTCTACAAGCACCCAGAAAATATGAGGTCTACAAACACACAAATCGAGTTTATTTATACATGATAGAAACGTCCTTGAGAGAGCCACAAAAACAGCGTACTCAAATCATACATCAACCAATAACAGTCAAGAACTTTCCGGGTGGGAAATGTAATCTGAAGGTTAACTGATCAGCCCATGCGTGAAAGCATGAAATCCAAAATTAGGACCTTTATCAAGTGAGTTCTGGAAATCTAACGTCCCCAACACAATTCCGATCAATCTATAATACAATCTAAAATATTAATCGTTGGCTGATCCATACCCAAACTGACTAAACCTTCACGGTTGATGTCATTTTAGAACAGAGAGATTTCGGCCACACATGAAATTCAGGACCTGGATCCCGTTCATATTTTCAACTCTTTGATAAAATGTAACTAGATTCAAGTGATAGTGTTAGAACAGTATTTGTACACAGTACCAAAACTAAATCTAAACTCCAACTTATCAATAATATTTCTCAACCAAAAATTTAATGATTGATCTCAAAACTACTCATATCATGTTGCGACAGATGCTTTGTGTATTTTCTATCTATCTACCTTTAGATGACGGACTTAATTTTTTTCTTTACAAATCATCATATCTCTAACTCCGCCAGTAGAACCTTCGGGGCTACTGCCTGTCCCAAGCCCGGATAAAGGAGGAGGGTTAGGCATGCGGTTGGCGAACACATGGAACACATTACGCCGAGAAATAGAGAAAGATATGCGAAGAATAAACAAACATGGAACAGAATTGGAAAGGGAAGCCCAGGACAGAGTTGGTTGGAGAAAATTGGTCGGCGGCCTACGCTCCATTGGGGGTAACAGGCGTAAGTAGGTAAGTAAGTAAGTAAGTAAGTAAGCATCATATCTCTTCCCAAATACAAAATAATTTCTCCTGTATCTCTCAGCATTTATTTCATTATTCAATGATTCTGTTTCAATCAACAGACACAGTTTGCATTTCTCTTTTTATATAACTTTAATCTATTCTCAACTAGTGTTTGTCATTTTCATTGTTATTCTATTATTTGATATTCATTTGTGTAGTATAAAAGAAAAACAGAAAACAAAACATTTTCAATAATGAATATCATGATGAATAAAAAAAGGGAGGGTATTTACTGGACTTGTTACGTCATTTTGTTCATATGACTTATAGCATGTGCAAATTATTATTTTTAGTCCAAATTAACGCGATAATAAACAACACTCTTAGTCTAAATAAAGACTTGCTCTAGTTGGAGTGTTTTGTGTTGAGGTTTTATTAGTAAAGCGTTGAAATTAAATGTAAGAGTTATAGATCTATTTGATTTGTGAATGAAATTTTATTTTATTTTTTTCATAAAAGTTATTGAAGTGAGAAAGTGTACATTAAGAGTATTTTTGACTATTCAAAGAATCCTGCAGTTGATTTTATGACTACATACACTTTAAACTGTAATGGTTTTTTTTCCTATACCAACAACCATACGTATTATTATTGTGAGTAGTATCGAGTAAGATAGAAGAATTTCGATAGCGGTTAAATAATCCAGTTTGTTTAACAAACCTTTCACACAATCAATACTTGATTTCATCATTAGTCTGATTTTTCTCGTTAGCGATTTTTTTAGCGAGTTAGTTTTCCTCGGGAACACAGTACGCCGAGAAATCGAGACAGACATACAAAAAATGAGCAAAAAATGGACAGAACTGGAAAGGGAGTAGATTGAAAAATACTAGTCGGCAGCCTATGCTTCATTGGGGATGACAGGCGAAAGTAAGTAAGTAAGCAAGTCAGTGAGTATCACTGGTCTGATAGCATTTGATGTTTAATTTCAATATTTAAAAAGTTTTATTGCTACCCCAGCAGCAGCAGGTTCCAACCTACGTAAGGGAAAAGTGAGATTGTCAGATACAACATAACATGCACCAATCGAGTCACACTTGACGGAGAAGCTTAGTAAGATTTAAAAACGTTTACTGATCTGGGCAGCCTCATTGATGAATAAGGTGAATCTCATGCAGATTTAAAGGCGTAAATCAACAAAACGATGGCAGCATTTCCGCAATTAGAACACATCTGAAACTCAAAACAAATATCAACCAACATTAAAATCAGAATTTTTAATACCAGTGTCAAGGCAGTTCTGCTGTATGGGGCGGAAACTCAGAGAATTACCACAGCCATCATACAGAAGATACAAGTACTCATTAACAGTTGTCTACGCAAGATACTTCAGATCGGTTGGCCAGACATCATAAGCAACAACTTAATGGGGGAAAGAACAAACCGAATTCCAATGGACGAAGAAATCAAGAAGAAGTGCAGGAAGGGGAAGGATACATCGAGGAAAGCATTCAACTACATCACAATACAAACCCTCACTTGAAATCCTCAAGGCCAACGGAAAAAAAGAAGACTGAGGACCACACTGTGTTGAGGATTAGCAGCAGACATGAAAAGAATGAATAGGAATTGGATAGGACTGGAAAAGAAGTGGTAGGATAGAATAAGTTGGAAAATGCTAGTCATCGGCCTGTGCTTCTTTTAGGGACGACAGATGTAAGTAAGTAAGTAAGTATTGCTTAAGTATTGATGTTAAAGCGAATGTTTAATTTAAAAACAGTTTTGATGAGAAAAATTAAATCATCTGAATTTTAAAACAATTATTAACATGTATCTAGTCAGATTCTAGATTTCAATATTCTAGACTCAATCTTCTAGTGACTGTTTATATCTGAATTACAACTAAACAGTTACATCTTCCTGATAATCCTCAATGTTAATAACAATTCTCCAGCTGTAATAAGTCCGAAATCATATATGGCAACAGAATTATAATGTTCGAAAGGGTCAATGTATTTCGGTAATCAAGAGAACCAAAGAAACATATTTCTTCATATTTGGTACTTGTCACCTGGATGTGCCTGAATTCAGTGTTTATAATTCAATAGCATCTCTTTTGTGTAAGTAAGTGTATCTATGGAACATTTTCTCATACACCAGTATTGAGAGTGAAAATCCAGTGTTGGTTTATGCATTCAGTTAATGAACACCAGACAGAAGGAAGCATCAGTTCCTGATTACACTGCTAGTCACCAGTTGACGCATTAGAAAATTTCTTGTACGTTTATAGAACAACACCAAATGAGTTGTTACCAGAGAAAACGTCCCCAGCAGAAATCCTGATGGGAAGAAGACTGAAAACGATCCACAGCCTGATGCATCCGAGAAATACATCAACACTGGTACAGACAAAGTCGGAAAGGCAATCCTCCTACGAAGTGGGATGTCCTGTGTTTGCCCGTGACTACAGAACAAACCATGGACATTCGACAGAAGCGCGAGTGATCAGAAGAGTTGGGCGTGTATGAGGCGATAAATGGTCGCGCCATCAAAATCAGATACGCAAACGGCTAGCCCCAGATTGCCCAGAAACAGGAGCAAATCTTTCTCTTGACATCCTGCTAGATACGTTCGACCTACCGGAAGCCCCACCAAGAGAAGGAACTCAGCAAAAAGCTGATCTCCGTTCCCGAAGGTATCCTCTCAGACAGCAGCGAACAACAGTCAAGATGCAAGTCAACCCCAGGAGCGCACGCTATTAAAAAGGGGAGGAGTGTTGCGGACGTTAGATCCCTAGAAATTACTTGATAAAGGCCTTAATTCTGGATTTAATTCATGAGCTGATCAGTTGACCTTGAGATCGCGTTTCCCACCAAGAAAATCCTTTACTGTCATTGGTTGATGTGTTATTTTAGTCCGCTATTTTTGTGGCTTTCCCAAGGAAGTTTCTATGATGTATAAATAGGCGCGATTTGTGTACCTGATATCACTGTAATTGCTGGGGGTTTGTAGACTACAGTTTCTACGCTATATCAAGACAATTCCGTCAATTAGTTTGGGGCAACGGATCAGAGTATTGAGAAAAGAGTCATAGTCATTGGATAGAGTCATAATAAAAAATATATGTACATTATTTCTGAAAAAAAAGATCTTACTTTGGATTATTCTCTGTATCATGAATACTAGGCATATGATAACTATTTACAAGGTTCCCTGTTTGTGTATTTTTAATATTACCATTATTATTATTATTATTGTTATTATTATTATTGTTAATATTAGTTTTGACGTCAACAGGAGATCGTGTTTCACCTCGTTCTTCAGCTGCATGACTCTGAAATGTGAAAAAGTTAAAAAAAGAAAGTGCATGTGTGTGTGTCAGAATGAAGTGAACAAATGTGATTGTTCATTTTTAAATGAATTTAATGTACCTAAAGTTACAATTGACTTGTAGGTTACATCCTAATATAAACCGATCTCTTTTAGGATACGTTTGTAAACTGAAGGACATTAGATAGCTATTTCATCAAACTATAGCATTCGACATCGGTACCCTACAGTAAACCTCAATAAATTTTGGTTTTTTGCAACTGCTTAGTCGCCAGAACTACTGAGTCGGTGCTGTGGTGATACAATTTCAACTTCAATCGATTTGTGAAATAGTATTACAATAATTCACTGACAATAGTAATAGATGTTCCACCACGTAGATGTTTAAATTATACTATTGGGCTCCAATGTAATGATTCTTTTAGTTCAAAGTTCGCTGTATTACATGAATTCCGGCGTTTCATCCCTTGACTGGTAGTGGGTGTGTACTAAACTGCGTTACCAAAGTTGGACGCAGCAGATATCCACTATTTTGCAGTTTTTAGTGATACTCTAACAGAGATCAGTCTGCGACGAATACAAACTTCAAATTAAAACACTCTCCAAAAGATACCTCTAACTACAATTAACTCTCACTGAACTGCCTTTTTAGATAATAAAAATAAACATAGACTTTTCTCAAGTATATATAATCCTACAAGTTAAATATCAATATCAGGAAAACTGAATCCACTCCATGAAGTATCGAATTAAAGGATATCATTGAAACGACTAAATGTTTTGTCAGTTAGAGATATGGAGATCGTTGTTTTTACACATTAAAGTCATTAAAACCAATCATTGTTAGACCACGATTAGAAACCTGGAAGCACTGAACGACCATTTTGTCCTGGTATGGGAATCATCAGCAGTGTGCATTCACGACTCCAGTTACTCGCAGGATTCGAGTAGGTTGGAGAATGCTGGTTGGCAGCCTATCCTTCACCAGGAGTAACAGGCTTAAGTAAGTAAGCAACGTATGGATAGATCATTTAGCAATAAGAATAATCTAGACTGTGTTTTGATTAATTTCTGAAGGAAGTTTTTCCGACTGTAGAATCAGTCATTGTTAGAATGATTTATGATTTCAATGTATAAAAAAACTGTCAACACATTTCCACCTATCAGCCCTAGAAAGTGCATATTTCTATTTATGAATAATTCGCATCGCTAATAAGTTGCTGGATTCCCTTGTCTGACCAAACAGATATGATTACCATGATTGTATTTATTAGTGAATTAGTCAATCATCTTTAAAGTAGGAAATATCAAAAATATCATGATTGAAATACAAAGACATTCAAAGGATAAAAAGTAAAATATTCAAAATATTATTTTGAAGATTTGAACATAGAGATTATTACACAAGAAGGAGAGATGACATAATGAAATTTAGAAGATCAAGAATAAATATGCCTTTGTTATTGTAACCTATTTACGGATCGTCACATCTAATCTCTTCGAACATAAACTACTTTTGTCCTAATTACATAGTCTACAAAATAAATCAACACATCACATATCATATCTTCTTGCGACTTCTACTATAAACTTTCTATCAACCTATTTCCACATTAGTTAACTTGATAGAAAAGTAGTTTGAAATCTATCAGCCCAAATCCATACTGAATTTTCCTTTTTAAACAGTTGTAGTTAGTGAGTAAGTGTATTAACTAGAATGACTAGTCGACTACTTGTTATCAATATCATTGTTTCTTTACTTATTCAGTGAAACGGGAACGAAATTGTATTTTAGTTCAAAGCACGTGCTGGGGTGCGTGGTCAATCGCTGCGCACTTCGGTATCTTGGTCATGTCAGATGAGTCGTGGTGCAAATTACGGTGTTTGAGTCTTGATGCGATGTGCGACCCGTTCTGAAGACCATGTCAGGCGGGGAGTTTGACTGGGGCGGTACATCCGTCAAAAGGTAACGCGGGTGTCCTATGGTGAGCTTAGTCAGGACAGAAACCTGGCGTAGAGTAAAAGGGTAAAAGCTTACTTGATTTTGATTTTCAGTACAAATACAGATCGTGAAAGCGTGGCCTATCGATCCTTTTGATGTTATTTTCGGAGTTTGAAGCGAGAGGTGTCAGAAAAGTTACCTGAGGGATAACTGGCTTGTGAAGGCCAAGCGTTCATAACGACGTATCTCCCATAAGGCAACAGTCCCAGGTCTATATCTATAAGGCTTCTCCACGCCACCAGTTGCTGGTGCACTTTTGCGTGCAGCCTTGGTAGCCAGTTGCTTGCGTGGCGCTTTACCGCTGGTTGATTTACGAGCAGTCTGCTTGGTCATTACAATGACAAAATGTCATGATTTATAATTTTACTAAAAACTTTCTTCGAAATCTCAATCACCATTAGACTAGCAACATCTATATAAGCATAATAGATGATTTAAATATTGGCTTTATTTGACAATAGTTTAGAATTAGCAAAATCATAAACTAAAATATTATTAATTAATTGCTTAGATTTTATACCATTTGTATTTATTTTTGATTGGACCAAATATACTACTGCTTCATGCATGCTATGAACACCTTTTATGAATTTAATTCGATTGCCAAATAAGTTATTCTAAAGAAACAATCCAAATTGAGTAGTAGTTGTATTCTAATTTCTATTCTGTTGCTAACATTCCATTCAATGTTCAGTTTAACTGAAACCCCAATCAAGTCAGTCTTTTGTAATCAGACAGACAGACAGATACAACGCAGAACTTTGTACGTAAGTACATCAGTTCAGATTGCCAGGCCCATTAAACACAGAGACGGTACTGCCAGTTCAAATCCAAGAGTGATAGCATTAACAGAAGTAGTAGAAGTAATGGAGAACATCAGGGAGCGAAGATATGATATAATTCGAGAAGTATAATTCAGTAAGATAAATTTAGAAGGAGAAAGACAAAGATGAGGAGGAATTCATAAGGTCAAAATTAGAGAGAACACAAAGAGTGGATGCATCTGTGCCATTGCAAACGATTTTGAGCCATGTCGTTCAAGGTCTCTAACCATTGGTGACTATCGTCTCGTGGACCCAGACCAGATAGCCTACACCTATTAACATAACACAGTCCACTTGTCAGTGACTTCATGCATTTGTGCCATGTTTTGGTTTGGCTGCCCCTATCTTTCATCCAGTTTACTCCTACACTGCAAAACATAGCTCGTCGAGGCAGTCGGTGGTTAGCCATAAGTAACACATGTCCCAACCACCTGAACTGATGAAGTTTCAATACTTCATCTATTGATTTGCCATCCCTACCTAGAACTCGTTTCCTAACGATAACATTGCTTATACGGTTGTCTTATGATACACGAACAATGCTTTGGAGACATCGATGATCGAAGACTAGTAACCTACGAATGTCCTCTATTCTTAACGGCCAAGTCTCTTTTGTAATCATCATTATTCTATTCATGGGCTCCAGATATAATTCTTCCGGATGTTCAGCATTATTGATTTTCAAAAGATGTCTCACCCCTTTTTGCAATATTTTCCGAACAAGCACCAGAAAATTTCGATAAACTGAATGATTTACTAGAGATACTTATGTGAAAGTAATTTGTTTTTATTGATGTGGTTTCTTTGTATTACTTTCCAGTTTTATTCAACTTAGAACATTGTGTGACGTTGAACATTTAACGCCATTCAGATCATGTCTATGCTAAACTAAACGAACAAAAACGAACTATCCTGTCATTGAAAAACTCAAATAACGACAGTAAAAAAAAATTCGTGTACAATTGAAGAATGATTTTCAACCTAGTTAGATGACAATTATTCAGAAATGTTTTCATGTTCATTTTTGTTTAAACTTTCATATTTCAGTTCTTACATTTTTTTTAGAGAAAAAAAAAGAAAGATTATTCTCCATGAAGCATGTCATGTTTTTTAATGATTGTGATAAGAGAAGTAGAGAAATATTTTAGAAGATCATTCCTTAGTTTTAACGTAATTATGTATATATGAAATTTTCTCTTATGCTCTGATAATTTCTAAACACCTTCCTTTTTTGACAAGCAAATAGTTTTATACTTTTAAGTATGTTACAAAAATTTATATCACCCAGGATCATGTATGTAAAATGTTTCTGTGATAAATTTTGTAACAATATATATGCTTTCAATGGATAACTTTTATTAAAGTGAGAAGACTTGTGATTTCCAACTCTTGCTACATTTATTCAGGGATTAGTGAAACATAGTTACATTGTCTCTATTTGTTCAGTGCATACATGTACCAAACATTCGGTTGTTTAGTGTTGTTGATACTTATGAGAAGTAATGGTTTATTTTAGGGAATAGATATATACGACTACTTGCGCATTAGTTCACTGTCATATGAAGAAATATTCATCTATACTTGTTGATGGTAGGAGATAATCTTTGTGATGACATTGTAGCACCACACCATTTATTCTTTCATACTTTAATGATTAGTCGTTGAAATTATTCGATAATTCTTTCGACCATACTTTTGTATTTGTAATAATTCGATTACAGTATCGATTATTGTACGTTTGATTGTATGTGTGTGTGTGCATGCTTACTCGCTGAATACATGTCTAGCCTATTTATTATTGCTTGACTATATAAAAACTTAGTCATTCGTCAGCTCATGGAGAGTTGGCTCACTCACCTTCTCCAATGCGCTTCGCTTTGCTTATACGGTTTCTGTTCTCATGTCTGTCTACATAGATAAATGCATAAAATAAATTAATCCGCAACACCGTATTTGGCTTCTGACTACCGCCGTTGCAAGAACAGGGTTTGCCTAAGTATGATATGAGGAAATGGACAGGAAGATCATTCGTCCACGCTGAAGTCCAGTAGTGAACCGCTAAAACATGAAGACTGGTATTATGCGAGTTTCGGACTTGTGTATTAGGCATGTTTGGAGTTTTAATGAAGTTGATGTTCCGTTTTAGGATTCAAAACACTTGCTAATGAGTTTCATAGTTAAAGACGTTACTTACACTGTCACTGAATTTTACACTGAAAATGCATTAGTACAGTTTGATCATTGTTTGGGTAATTAAATACACTAGTACTAATCAACAATAATATCTTATATTCCACATATGTAGCGCAAATGTAACGAGATATCGACAAAATGTTCCTCTTAACAATAAGAGTAAGACAGAGTTAGACCGCTGAAATGGATAGTTGATATAAAATTCGGGTTATTATACATCAACACTGTGTTGTCTAGCTTACAAATTCTCCATTTATATTCAAAATAACGTCTTCCATTTATACTGTTCAAGAATCAACCACTAAGCGAATTAAAACCAAATCAATACTGTATATATTAAAATATCAATAGGGTTTATGAGAGATTTATTTTCATACTTTTTAAATCATTCAGGCTCATAATCTGTAGGAATTTTACTGACCTTGAAATTATTTTGTGGAACATTATTCTATTGATAAAACTCTTGTTATTGTATTTTATTTTTCTTACTACTATCAGTACACCTACCTGTCTTCCTACTATCAACTTGTACTTTTGCCTATTATACATGTAGTGACGTAACCTCTGTTTCATTTCATTGTGATTATTGACTCTTTAAATTGCTCTGATTAGTTTGACATTTTCATATAAATTTATTCATGTATATTAGAGTAAATCCTGACGACGATCTAATCGAAAACAACAATATTGTTCACTTATTATAATATGTGTTGTTCTAATTTTCACACACACTAGGAATCGTTAATATTATTCTTTCTGTTCATATACTGAAAATAATTCTTGTAAGCGGTTTAATTATATTTTTACTCACACTATTCAAGAAAAACCAAATATACTAAATGATAAATTAATGTTTAAGATATATCTAGTACCTCGTTTCACTGAACAAATAACGAAGGAATAACTTAGAACTTCATATATTTATCTATTCCGCTAATTCTACGCTAAAGCGAATTCATTGAAAGCTTTATCAGCATTACATAGTCGTTGACAATAGACACTACAGTATCAGGTCACTTTTATGTATTTCGAAAAATTTTAACGATTGTTTTTGTTATGATGTTTAATTTAATATATTCAACATTTGATATGTGATGAAGTTTCATTCACTGAGCTGGATGATAAATATCTTGTCAATTAAAAAACAAATAAGAATAGAATTATAACTTATGTTATTTAATAAAATATAAGATATAAGATATTTTATTACTTACTTCTTGTAATTTGGCTTGTTCTTCTTCAGCTTCTGTTAATTCTTGAGCATTTGCCAAATTATCCACAGCAATGGCAAGAAATACATTTAACAGAGTATCTTTTGATAATTCAAAGTGTTAAGGAATGTGTCTTTATATACATATGAATAACCGATTAGTGTACTGAAAAGTGAACTTAGTCTACATCCACTGCTTTGAGGTCAATTGACAATCACAAGATAGATTGAAACAGATACAATCTATCAAGCTGTAAACGAAACATCAATCAGTCAATCTATCAGCAGTAGTCATGTGAATAAGGCTGTAAACTTTAATACAACGACAAATACCTATGAAATCTCTATAAAACCAACTGACTACACAGACGGCCGTCAAAAAAAAGCTGACTTAATGCTTCAAGCGCACTTTTACATGCAAAAAGCGTCTCTGATATTGTCCAGAATCACAATAAAAGATTCCCAATTAGCCTATCTAATTTGAAAACTTTACAACACAATAAAACTCAATCTTTACTAACACAATTATTAATTAGTATACTTTGTGTGTGCTGGAAGCACCCAACTGTGTCACAATGTAAGCCCTAATTTAGAATCCTCAGGACCAAAGGAGAAGATGAGGAACAAAGGACACATTACACCGAGTATTGGATACAGACATGAGAAGGATGAACACATCAGTTGGATAGAACTAGAAAAGAAGGAGTAGGACAGAGTATGTTGAGAAATGCTGGTCGGCGGCCTATGATGCTCCACTGGGAGTAGCAGGCGTAAGTAAGTAAGTAAGTAAGTAAGTAAGTAAGTGATATATGAATAAATCATTCAACAAAAGCAATAATGTAAACTGTGTCATGATTAATTTTTGAACAAAGTTTTTTTAATTGTACATTAGCACAACAGTTAGAAAATGAAGGACAGAAAGCATAGTATAATACAGTACATTTTCAATCGTAAAGATAATAAATTCGAGGTGAAGAAGATACAAGCATACATTCCTTACTAAAGGATGGGTAAACGTACATATGTGCTTAACAGCGACGACTAATTCTGAAGAACTATGTTGTTAACAGTTTCACCTCTATAAATTATGTTGTTTTTACATTTTTACCATTATAAATAAGAATGAAGTGGTCGAAAATCTGTTAGTTTATCGGAAAATTTTTGCCTTTACTTCTAATCAAATCAGTCTTAAATGTTAAAGCATCTGAAGCGGATCGTAAACCACAATGAACAATTAGCTAGCATAATCTTTATGCATACATGAACTAGATAATTGGTATGTTAGTGGAAATTCTTTATTGCTCATCCTAGAAATAAGGTTCTTTAAGCTTCTCAGTTATAGAGTTATGTGCTCACTAGTGACTAACTTCGTGAGGAAATTCTTGGAGTTCTGGTGAGAAGCCGTGATCAGTGGATTTCAAACTTGTCGATGTTGGCAGTTACCTACCGAAGACAATGGGTGAGGTTTCGCAATAACGTTTTATATTACCACCGTTGGATGCCAGCTGGATGGTCTATCGGTTAGGCATTCTGGTGCGAGAATGAAAGTCCTGGGTTCGTTTCTCACAGGCGGGTTCGTGGATGCCCACTTCAAGAGAGTCCCATAATATTGTGAAACGGCCGTACAGTTCTCCCAGGTTTCTAATTGTGGTCTAACAATGATTGATCCGTGATTTCAATAATGAAATTACCTGGTTTTACAATAACAGTATATTGCATTCTTTAAAAAAGTTTAAAAAAAAGCTCTTTTATGGAATCTTATTTTTCTTTATCAAACAAAGTAAAAGGATACAATTTCCAAATACCATAACTAGAACAAAATATACACTGTAAATTGCACCACCACTGGTTACTCCACCTTGTGCTCTTATTCCATTATACATAACGGTATTCCAATCTTCACCAGTTAATATCTGTATTGGTATACAATAACAACAACAAAAACAATGGCAGTCAAAGTAATAAATATATATATATCTAAATATATGTACTTTTTTTTATCTATGATATTTATAACTTAATTTCGTCAAAGTATAAAATAAATGAATGATTGGAAATTGATAAGAAATTGCTTGACGTCATAGGAAATAATAGAAATAATTCAGTGTTTTACATTTATTTAAATGTAATTTTATTCATTGGTTTCTGAAATGCATAGAACTAATGGTTAACACTTTAGATTAAAGTACGGATCGATAAAGTGGTATATCTGTTAACAGTCCAGTAACTGTGGACCGAGCAGTAAATCAGTCAATAGTAAGATGAATCAAATAGTTAAGGTACTATGAAATATCTGAAATAAAGATAATAACCCAGTGCAGAGCATACTTACTGTGGGAGAGAACAAAACTGATTCCAGCAGAGTTGGAAATCAGGAAGAAGCTGTGGAAGTGAATAGGACACACTGCGAAAAGGACCCAACTGCGTCATAAGACAAGCCCTCGCTTGGAACCATCAAGGCAAAAGGAGAAGAGGAAGGCCAAGGAACACATTACGCCGAGAAACAGAGAAAGATATGAGAATAATGAACAAACATGGGACAGAACTGGAAAGGGAAGCCCAGGATAGAGTTGGTTGGAGAAAACTGGTGTGCGGCCTATGCTCCATTAGGGGTAACAGGCGAAAGTAAGAAAGTAATTAGAGCATACTCAAGTACTCACTTAGGCCTGTTACCCACCAATGGAACACAGGCAGCCGATTAGCATTCTCCTAATGACTCCGTACTGAGCAGTCCTTTCCATTTCTAACCAAATGCTATTCATTCTTTTCACGGGTATCTGATTCTCAGTGAGATGTGCTCCTTGGTCTTCCTCTTTTCTTTTTCCCTTGAGAATTCCTAGTTACGGCTTGCCTGACGACGCGATAAGATACTTTCCGCAATGTGTGTCCTATCCACTTACAGTGCTGCTTCTTGTTTTCTTTCCTCAGCCGGAATCTGGTTTGTTCTGTACCATAGTAGGCTGTTACTAGTGGTTTCTGGCCAACACCCGTATCTTTTGAATAATGGCTTTCACAGTTCTCCAAGTTCACGCCACATATAGTAGAACTATCTTGACACTGCATTGAAAATTTTGACTTTGGTGTATGTCGATAGTTGTTTTGAGTTGGAGATGTTCTCCAATTATAGAAATGGGGCCCATGCGTCTCTTCACTTCTTCGTTTGATTATTTATATTCAGCTTGTCCATATGCTTTCTGCGCTCTGGTTCGACTGATATTGATTGCTGCTTTCTGGCTCTTCCTTTCTGTAGTCCTATCCAGAGTATCAGCAGGGATCAATTCATTATGAGGGTGCTTCTTGTGGTACAAAACCTCATGATCTGTTGAAGTTATTGCTTACTCAATCCCTTTCAAGTTGTTCTTCATTGTAGCTTACTCTTCATGGAGTAGATCCTGAAGCGCTTGGAACTTGTCTCTGCGTGCTATCTTGAAATTTTTGAGATTGTCAGTATCTCGAAGAAAGGCTGTTTTAAAATTTTTGATGCTATTAGTCCAATCACCCAGTGCTTCTTCAGTTACAGTTTAAGTCAACCACTACCAAATGATGATCTGAAGCTGTCAGTTTCTCTCTTTGTTCTCACGTCGCTCATGGTCCTACTGGACTTTTTATTGATAGATCTAGTTCTGTCTACTTTTATCCGGTGAAACATGTGTAGCTTTGTGTACACGTTTGTATGGTAATATGCTACAGTCTATGATCAGTTCGTTCTCACCCTTTTCGTTCCTTTTTCTCAAAAAATAAGTTTCAATTTCAACTAATCACTTGTTTCTACCTTGTACACATGGAATTTGTTATTTGATTGAGTTGAATCCAAGTAAAAATACGTACAACAGTTAATGGTCTCAACATAAAACTATGTGTTTAAATACTAGACTAATGTCGTATAGGATGTTGAAATGACTGAAAAAAATAATGTATATTAGATTGAAATAATCAAGTCGATACAATTTCATAGAATCAATTCATAAATTCTAATTGAACAAGATAACATTTAAGCACAAGAAAACCATAATTGAAAAGTATAATCACAGAACCAATCATATTCATTA